GGGAAACACTGTGAAATGTTAACAACTGCTTATTCTTGGGTTTCCCAGGTGGAGCTAGTGGTAAAGAACCTGCCTGCTGATGCAGGAGATGTAAGAGATTGGAGTTCCATCCCCGGGTTGGGGAGATCCCCTGGAGAAGGAAATGGCAACCCACACCAGTACTTTTGCCTGGAGAAACCCACGGACAGAGGAGCCTGGTGCGCTACAGTCCATCGGGTCACCAAGAGTCAAACTAACTGAATCAGCACGTGTACCTGCTAAGGCAGAGGGTATGCTGGAGTTCGTTGTACTGTTCTCTCAACTCTTCCATAGACTTTGTTTTTCCTAAGAAGTATTTGAGGGGAGGAAAACGTCAGCTGAAACCAGATTCAGATTTCACGGGTGAGGGAAGTTCCAGCTTCTCCCAAGGACTCTACCCTTTCATCTCCCTCCAAAGAGGATGACACTTCCTTTCCCTCTTCCATCGTTTTCTGGGGGAGATGACAGAGGTTAGGCTAGCCCTGTGTCGTTTTCAGGGTAGGTGGCTGGTTCCTGTTGTGGTGATCTTGAACTGAAGCAGTGGGGTAGTTGGCTGCTTTTGTTCCCCTCTTTGGACCTAGTACCAATTCTGGAGATCCTGGGAAAAGTTCAATTTAACATCCTCTGACAGAAGCCTAAAGGCAGAGACTCGAGGTGGCTTTCAACAACTGATGGCTGTGATTCTCACCCAGGGGCAGTGCCTGGGGGCCTTTTCAAAATGTGTGGGATATTTGGTGATTGTCACAATGACTTGGGAAAGGGTTGCTAAGGGCAGCTGTTCTGGATTTTGTAAAAAACTTTTTATTTTGTATTGGGTCAATTAGGGGCTTCCCTGGTGGCTCAGTGGTAAAGAATCTGCCTGCATTGCAGGGGCCACTGGAGACATGGGTTTGATTCCTGGGTAGGGAAGATCCCCTGGAGGAGGGCATGGCAACCCACTCCAGTATTTTTGCCTGGAGAATCCTGTGGGCAGAGGAGCCTGGCAGGCTACAGTCCATAGGGTTGCAAAGAGTTGGACATGACTGAAGCGACTTATTCCAAAGGACTGGTTCCAAAAGGAAAAGGAATACATCAAGGCTGTATATTGTCACCCTGCTTATTAACTTATATGCAGAGTACATCATGAGAAACGCTGGGCTGGAAGAAGCACAAGCTGAAATCAAGACTGCTGGGAGAAATATCAATAACCTCAGATATGCGGATGACACCACCCTTATGGCAGAAAATGAAGAAGAACTAAACAGCCTCTTGATGAAAGTAAAAGAGGAGAATGAAAAAGTTGGCTTAAAGCTCAACAGTCAGAAAACTAAGATCATGGCATCCAGTCCCATCACTTCATGGCAAATAGATGGGGAAACGGTGGAAATAATGGCTGACTTAATTTTTTTGGGTTCCAAAATCACTGCAGATGGTGACTGCAACCATGAAATTAAAGGACGCTTACTCCTTGGAAGGAAAGTTATGACCAACCTAGACAGCATATTAAAAAGCAGAGACATTACTTTGTCCGTCTAGTTAAGGCTATGGTTTTTCCAGTAGTCATGTATGGATGTGAGAGTTGGACTATAAAGAAAGCTGAGCGACAAAGAATTGGTGCTTTTGAACTGTAGTGTTGGAGAAGACTCTTGAGAGTCCCTTGGACTGCAAGGAGATCCAGCCAGTCCATCCTAAAGGAGATCAGTCCTGGGTGTTCATTGGAAAGACTGATGCTGAAGCTGAAACTCCAATACTTTGGCCACCTGATGTGAAGAGCTGACTCATTTGAAAAGACCCTGATGCTGGGAAAGATTGAGCGCAGGAGGAGAAGGGGACGACAGAGGATGAAATGGTTTGATGGCATCACTGATTCAATGGACATGAGTTTGGGTAAACTCCGGGAGTTGGTGATGGACAGGGAAGCCTGGCGTGCTGTGGTTCATGGGGTCGCAGAGAGTTGGACACGACTGAGTGACTGAACTGAACTCAAAGTGACTTAGTATGCACGCATGCATAGCCAATTAACAACGTTGTGAGTTTCAGGTGAACAGAGAAGAGACTCAACCATACTTATACATGTATCCATTCTCCCCCAAACTCCCCTCCCATACAGGCAGCCATGTAACATTGAGCAGAGTTCCATGTGCTATACAATAGGTCATTATTGGTTATCCATTTTAAATGAAGCAGTGTATACATGTCCATCCCAAACTCCCTAACTATTCCTTCCCCCATCTTTCCCTGTTCTGGAATTTTGATGTCAAAGCCCCTTTTACACTCTTAAAAGTGTCGAGGACTCCAAAGAGCTTTTAGTTATATGGGCTAGGATGTCCCTGACAGTCCAGTGTTTAAGATTCTGTGCTTCCAATGCAGGGGGCGAGAGTTTGATCCCTGATCAGAGAACCAAGATCCCACATGCCACATGGCTCTGCCAAAAAAGTTATAACTATTGATATTTACTATTGTGAATGTCAAGTCACTGTATTAGAACTTAGAACTGATACTTTGAGTATATAGGAATCCACAAACACATATTCCGTTAGTTGGCAGAGCAATGACATCATCACATGTCATTCTGGAGCTTCTGGAAAACTCCACTGTACACTCAAGAGAAAACGACAGTGGGCTGGCCAAAAAACATCCTGGCATTATTACGAAAATAATGTTAACTTTGTGGACAAAAGGTCTGGGGAGCTCCCAGGGTACCCTGGACCAAACTTTGAGACCTGTTCTAAAGGCATTTATAAACCTGGGATGGTTAGGTATGCCAAATAGACTGCAGAGTACAGGACAATTCAGCCCCAAATGTCCAAAGCGCCCCTTTGGATGGATTGCTACCCCTTTCATCCAGTTATCTGTGACTTGGGGGGGGGGTCTCTTGCATATAAACAGTGTTGGTGGAGTGTTTATACATTGTTCCCTCAGATACAGGCTTGACTCCTTCATTTCAGTCAGGTCCCTCATCAAATGATTTCTTCTTAGAGAGGTTCTCCCTGATCACTCTTAAAACTGAACCCCTGGGGTGACTTTTCTGGTGCTCCAGTGGTTAAGACTCCATGCTTCCAATGCAGGGGGTTCTGGTTCAATCCCTGGTCAGGGAACTAGATCCCACATGTCATGCAGAGGGGCCAATAAATAAGCAAAACTGAACCACTGGAAATTCCCTGGCAGTGTTTAGGACTCTGCACTTCCACTGCATGGGACCCAGGTTCTATCCCTGGTCAGGGAACTAAGATCCCACAAGCCTTGTGGTGGGTCAAAAAAAAAAAAAAATCGCTACCTCCTCCCCTGGTTTATTGTCTTTACAATACTTTTCATCACCAGCCATTATATCACATATATACTTATTTTTAAAATCCTCTCATTAGAATATCAGCTCCAGCAAAACAAGGTTTTTCCTCCCCCCCACCCCCAGTGCTATATCCCCAGGGTCTAGAACAGTAGCTGGCACAAGTGTTCAATTCATATTTTTGAAGGAATAAATGAGGGACCAGACCTATTTTCCCATTAGCCGTGGGACCCAACAAGACTCTGAGGTCCCTGAAGGCAGGGCCTGTGTGTGTCAATAAGTATCCTCAACACTCAATACCTAATAGAAGCAAGCATTTCGAAAATGCTTGTAAAATGAAGAGAAGAATACATAATGATGGGAAGTAATCAGTGGTTGCCTGGGGCTGAGGCTGGGAACCAGAATGGGAATGGACTGAAAGAGGGCACGAGAGAAGAGATCCTTTTTGGCTGACAGAAATGCTCTAAAATTGGATTGTGGCGATGGCTGTATAACTCTGTAGAAACAATCATCACCCACTTAAAACAGGTGGATTTTATGATCTGTAGATTACACGTCACCAAAACTAAGCACCGTCTGTGTGAGGGAGCAAATGAATGGGCACCCTAGGAGGTGCAGGGCGTCTGAGCCTTTCGCTGTACTGCCCTGGACGATGCTGGGGACACGGGGCTGACTAAGACCACCCAGAGCTCGGGGCCGGGAGGTGGGAGACATAGGCACAGGGGTCAGGGCAGGGATGGGGGAAGCCTAAGTGACTGCAGGAGATTCAGATGAGAAGTCAGAGACGACTTCCTGGCGGAATGAACGACTGAGCCAGACCCTAAAGGATCATGTTGTCCGTGACCATGACACTAGTTTTTTGGGTTTTGCTGTTTTCCTTAAACACTTTTCCTGTTAAAACCTTAGCATGGGTCGGGCGGGTCTCTCCACTAATCCGGCCCTTCCGCGAGTTCCGCAGGACAGGGCCACAAGAGGGCGCTGTTCTATTGCGCTCTGGGAGAATCTACCGTGGTCGCCTTGGCCTTGCAGGAGGCGGAGACGGGAGCGGCGCGTTCAGGGCGGAGCGGGGAGATGGGGGTTGTGTGTCGGAGGAAAGGTTTCCGAAGCGCGACGCGTGTCCCCTTCGTAGGGTGGCGGAAGCAGTCCTGGGGAGCCGCTGATCGTCAGCGGAGCGGAGGGCCGCTCTCGGTCCTGCGCCGGAGCCCGCGGCGTAGCGAGCGGCTTTCGGAGGCTCTCCGAGAAGGGGGCGGCCCGGCGCTAAGCGCAGTCTGGCGTGGAATTTCCCAAAATAGCCCTGGCCGCTGCCGAAGGTTCCTGGAGAGGAGGCGCCGGGGCGGGGGTTTGGGTTTGGGGGGGAGAAGCTTTCCAAAGAGAACAGGGAAGGGGGCGCTCAAGCAGCCTGAGCTGCACGTCTCCCCAAAGATGACCTCGATGCGGGCGTGGGGTGGGGGGGATGCATCACATGGTGTTAGGTGGGACGAGGTCACTGGGGAGGGCGGTGGCGCTAACTCCGCGTCCCTGGGTCTATTCTGAGCGAGTCTTCCTTGGGGAAATTGGCAAAGAGGAGGCCGTGGGAGGTCTTTGGGAGATAACGGGTCCGTGGAACTCCACATCTGCTTCAACGGGGATTGGGGGGAGGGGGTTCGTGTGTGCGCGCGCGAGCGCGCGCGTGCAGAGGGAGGGCGTCTGAGAAAGACTGTTTTGGGCACAGCGAAGAATGGTTTTCTGTAAAGATCGGCCTCTGGCACGAGAGACGACGGTCTTGACTCTGTCCTTGATTTTCTGTGTGCTGAGTGGCCTGTTTCCCCATCATACCAATAATTCGAATCACCTCCGAGTCCTAGGCTCTTTCTGCCCCTCTCACTCGCCCGTGGTTTGTAGAGGTGAATTGCTGAAATGGCCTCTTCTGGGCCTGGCCTTGTGCCCGGACATCAAAATGACCAAAACAGCCCCAGACCTATCCCTCACCCATAGTCCAGTGGGAGATCAGATAGTGACAGAGCAGAGCGGGTCGGGCCTGGTCTGGGAGAAACGGAGAGGAGTTAGGGCCAGGAGGGGGGACGCTCAGGGCCCCGGAGGACCCAACTGGAGACTGAGCGCTCTAGACTTGCCCTGGAGGGTGATGGAGTTTTGAAAGGATTGGATGGGGGCGGGGCCTTGAAGAGGTTCCACCTCTACAAAAAAGGAGATCTTTGAACTGAGGCCTGAAGAATGAGTCGCGTCCTGTGAACTGTTAACCGAGACCTGACAGGGATCTATATCTGATTCATCGATATGAAAGGGCATATCCAGGACATTTTATTATTAGGGGAAAATAAAGCAAGTGTTAGTCACTCAGTCGTGTCCGACTCTTTGTGACCTCATGGGCTGTGGCCCGCCAGGCTCCTCTGTCCGTGGGATTTCCCAGGCAAGGATACTGGAGTGGGTGGCCATTCCCTTCTCCAGGAAGTCTTCCAGACCCAAGGATTGAACCCAGGTTTCCTGTATTACAGGCAGATTCTTTACTGTTTGAGCCACCAGGGAAGCCCCAAAATAAAGCAAAGTGCAAAAAGGTTTTAAAAGGAATGAGTAGCATTCTTCCTGGAGAAGGTGCAGTGTCAGGAAAGGGTATCGCAGGCAGAAGAAATGGCATTTGCAAAGGCTTGAAGCACAGCTCCTTCTGAGCAGAGTCCTTTGCTTGCTCCCTAGGAACCCTCTTTGGTGCCCAGGAAAACCATCTGTCACAGGTCCCCTAGTCCAGGATCCAGCTGGTTGATGGGCTGTAATGTAAACCCTTGAGGGCAGATCCTAGGCTTCTCCCCTCACAGCCTGGTGGTTGAATGACTGGCCTTGAGGTCAACCAGAAGCTGGACTTGAATCCCAGCTCCCCCACTAGTCAGATGTGTGACCTTGGATAAGTGACTCAATTTCCTGATTTATCAAATGGGGATATGGGGTTGGGTTTCTTGAGACCAGCCTCCTCATTTTAAAGAGCTATAAAGGATTGAACATGTCATCTATATAGTATGTATTTTTAAATATATGACTTTGTAGATTGTTATCAAGGAACCCAGGAAACAACAGAGAAACTTAAAAACGTGCTGCCATGTCAAATGTCACTTTGGCCTATGTTACAGAAAAAGCAATTGGTGGAACATGAAGTCAGCTCAGAGCTGTGCTTCCAAACCTAATTATTTAAAATATTAATACAAAACTTACTAGCAGCAGATTATATATATATACACACACACACACACACACACACACATATACCTAATTCCTTGGTTCAAAATCTGTAAGAATTAGAAATGGGGTGATTAATTTGGGGTGCCCACTAATACCCACTTCCTGAGTCCTGGGTTACCTGCTACCATGCTATGACTCAGAGGTTAGTACATAGGGAGATCCTTTTTACTCCCTTTGGTTTTAGATGACAGAAGAAAGGCTCGGTCTCCACACCGTCTCCCCTGGATATACACCCTGCTTTCTCGAGGGGCACCATTATATTCTTCCTTTATTGGTTGTCCTTGTATAATACAAATCTGCAAGTTTAGATACAAAAAAATCTGGAAATAAAAGATAGAAAAGTACCCGCCAGGCACCCCTTCCTTCTTCCTGGAACCCCTCCCCAGCGGGCACCGTGAGGTAACTGAGCTTCTTCTTCTTCCCTTTCCCCTTCCCCCTACCCCACCTCCTGGCCCCCCAACTTGGCCCCCTATCCCCTTGAGACCTTGGTCCAAAGAAGAGGCGGGCCCCCGAGGGGAGGGGAGGGGTGGGCACAGCATTGGCAGTGAACGCAGCAGGTGGGCAGAAGGAAGCCCTTCGCTTGTGCTGTGTATGGGGGTGGGATGATCAGACCTGGGGGTGGGCACTCGTGTGGGCCCGCGAGGGCCCCTAGGTGGGTATCCCACCTCCATCCCACCCAACACTGGAAGGTAGAGAAGGTCAACAACAGAAACAGGGAAATGTAGCTCGAACCAAGGCGCTCAGTGGGACTGTGGCCATCCCCCTGTGTCTGGAGTGAGGGGAGAGGAGGTTGTGTCAGCCTAAGTCTGGCAGAGAAATGGGTCCCTTAGCCAGGCTGGGTCCGTCCCTGAATTCCATCCCGTTGCAACCTGGGCGTCACAATGTCAGTTCCATAGTGGTTGTGGGAGGTGGTCGAGAGAAGGGGTTAGAGGGGCCATGGGAGGGGGCAGGACTAGGGGAGAGGCTGGGCCTCCACTCCAAGGAGTGGGACACCCGGAGATGAGGGGTGGGCAGGGCGGCTCGGGCTACAGTTCAATCTCGAAGGTCTTCTGCAGGTCGCCCGAGAAGGGGTTGGAAGGCTTCTCCACAGCAGGTTTGCCTTCTAACGCTGCCCACTGGGCCTCAAAGGGGTCCAACTCAGGGGCCGGGGCCGGTGCCGGCTCCGGGGGCCAGGGCGCCCCATTGGGGCGTGGACGAGCCTGGCCCCCAGGGGCGCTGGGTGTGGCAGGGGGTGGGAAGGCCCCAGCTTTCCCGAGCAGGGTGGCGGGCTGGGGCTGGAGCTGAGCGGCTGAGCAGAAGGCGTTGGCCACCATCTGTGAGGGGGTGATGCCCACCACGGGCACGCGGGGCATGGGCGGGTAGCCCAAGCCGGGGTAGGCGGGCACAAACGGGGGCTGCATGTGCGGGGCCGGCAGGAACACGGCCACCTGGGCAGGTGTGGCGTCGAAGGGCCCCACGGGGGCAGGGAAGGGCTGCAGGCCGGGGTGCACAGTGGGCACTGGGGCCGCCTGCTGCTGCTGCTGCTGCTGCTGCTGCTGCTGCTGCTGCTGGGCCTTTGCCACTTGGGACACTTCCTCCAGCCACCTCTCAGCCTCCGAAGGGGTCCGCTTGTGCCCAGGCTGGAAGGCAGCTGCAGGGGGCACGGCGGGCTCACCCCAGGCAGAAGTCCCTGGAGAGAGAAGAGGGGCAGTTAGGGGGCGTGGGCTGCAGCAGAGAGAACCCCAGGTTGGCGACCAGACTCTGCACCAGGCTGCTTGCCTTGCCTCTAGCCTGGCTCCTCATTAACTTCACGGACTTTGGACAAATGACTTGATCCCTCCTGAACCACATAAGGTCATACAGCGCTCAGAAAATTCAGTTCTGAGATGCTAAGGTCCTGAGATGGAAAAATATAGGCAAGGGTGACAATCACACAGGCTGGCTTCCCTTCTGGTTGGTCGGTAACAAACCTGTTATTAAATACTTTCCAATATTACCCTTGGCTCTAATATTTTGGCAGTATTGTTTCAGAAGGCTAAGATTCTAAGATCTCATGGCTCTTTCTCAGTATGTACTATTCTAACATGGTGGGTAAGTTTCAGTAGTTTTAAGTTTGTGTTTTTGAAGATTCTAGAGATTTACATTGTTTGGAATTCCAAGGTGCTTCCCCAGTTCTGGAATAAGCATTTGGCTCGAGGAGGATTGCGTGGCATTATTTTCTCAGAGAGCTGGCTTTCAAGGCTGTGAGATTCCAAGGTTTTGTGGCTCCAAATCTATTAGGCTCTAATATCTTGTGATTCAAAGACTGTAGGTGTCTAGATTTTATAGTTCTAAGACAGGAAGGTTTAAACATTGATCCCACAGTTCTAAAGTTCTAATCCCATAATTCTTATGTTATTTCATGGTTCTAGGATGAATTCATGTCCCTGAGATGACCTTGTGGTTCTAAGATGGTGCATGGTTCTAAAGTCGTAGATTCCATGATTCTACGATGATTCATAGCTCTTAAATGATCCATGGTTCTAAGATGATTCCATGGTTCTACAGTGATTGACTCCATGATTTTAGGATGATATTGAATGATCCATGTTTCTGTGGTAATCTCATAGCTCTTAGATGACCCAGAGTTCCATCCAAGCTTGTGGGGTTCCAAGATTCCTAGAGTCTCTGCAGTGGGCCTGAAAGGAGCAGGGGGATGCAGGAGCAGCACTGCAGGGCATCTGCCTCAGGAGAAGGGCAGAGTTTACCTGTCGAGGCTGGCGGTGGCCCTGATGCTGGGGCTCCAGCACTGGCGAACGATGAGCTGATCTGCGTGCACAGGGCACTGATGCTGTCGCTGTCGCCGGCACCAGGCGGCTCCATCTCAGGCACTGGGAAGTCAGGAAAGGGTGGAGGTCAGCGAACAGGCCCAGGCTCTGCCCTTGACCCCAGCCCTGTCGGTGGCCCTCACAAGGTGTGTGCGTTGATGGATTCACTCTGCCGTAACTAAGTGGCCATGGTCACAAAAATAACTGCATGCGTGTGTGTGTCACACCTGAGTGGTACAAGAGCCAGGAGTATGTGACAGCAAAGTGATTCAGTTATACATACATCTGTACATATATACGTGTGTGTGTGTGTATTCGCTTTCATATTCTTTTCCATTATGGTTTATTACCGGATATTGAATATATTAATAGTTTCCTGTGCTATACAGTAGGGCCTTGGTTACCTATTTTATATATAATAGTTTGTATTGGATATGTGTTTTCTAAGTGTGTGTAATGGTCACACCTGGTTCTGCAACTTCTGTGTGTGTATGTGATTTTCGTTTGCTCCTCTCTCTCACTGTATGACTTCCGACCATGACACCCACAGCAGACTGGGACATCTGTGTGAGTCTATGAAATTTCTGGGTGGCAAGTCACATCCAAGCAAGTGGCTACAGGCGCGCGAGGCCTCCACATAAAGCCTGGGGTGTCTGCCCCCTCAGAGAGCAGATGTGAGCGCCCTGGGGGTGTGCTTACTGGCAGGCTGCTAATGAGGACAGCAGATGCGAGGGTGTGTGCAGGACACGGGAGTGAGCTGCAGGATATGGAGTGAGCATGCGTCATTCCCAGCAAGCGTTGGCACCTGCTCTGCAGTCACCTTGTGGACTAGCCCAGCCTCCTGGATACAGATCAACACTCCCACACCAATCCCCGGGGCCATAAGGGGGAGGTGTCACAGATCTGGCATTTGGGAACAGGAGAGCGAGCCAGACCGCATGACTTCACTGACAGCTGGGAGGAAAGGCAGCCCTCCTGCCTGTTTCCCTCGGGCAAAACATAGTTCCACGCCACCTCTCTTCTCTCTTCCCCATGGCAGACGTTGTTTTTAAATCATGACATATGCCATGTCTCTCCCCTTCCTGGTTCACGGCAGACATTAGTAATCAAACACGATGCTTTTCTCCCGTGAAACTCTTTGCTCACTTTACCCCTCACCCGGCCAGACCTCGTGGCTCTACTGGCCAAATGCTGGAAGAAAGGACTGGTAATGCCATCTTTCCTCCAACATAAAAGGGCATTTTTATTGGCTCTCTCCTATCACCAGCGTGGCAGACATTGCTAATCAATGATGACATACTTCCTTTTGCCTTGTCACTCTCCTAGGAAGGCATGTCTAATCAATACATGGGTGCTGCCTCCCACAGTCCCTTATCCACAAGCAACATGACGAATTCGTCACTGTGCTCCCTGATTCCATGATCCCCAGACTACTTGTGCCCTTCGTCTTCTGCTTCCATAAGCCAAATTCTGGGAGTCATCTCTTGAGCAAAATGTAATACTCCTGCTCTCTCTTCTTGCTTGCCCACAGCAAATTTTGGTAATTAATCACGTGGTGTGCCACCTTAGTCTCTTTTCTTGTTCATGCCAGACACTGTAAGGAGACCGTAATGTCCGGCATCACTCAGTTCTCCCTGCCCTAAACAGGCATTGCTCTGAACCTGTATCCTTCACCTGTATCTCATGGCTCTAATGGGCAAAAGCTTGGAAGGGAGCATTAGCCTATGGTGCTTCAGTCTCCTCCTGAGCAACAGCATGGCATCCGGGCCCAGCTGCTCTCCTCTGCCCTGCCCACGGAAGTTTTGCTTGCTCGTCAATCATGATGTACACCACCTCTCTCCTGTCCCTAACTAGAGCAGACAGCACTAATTGATCATGACTTGAGCCACCTTTGTGCGATCCCTTACTGGAGCAGACTTTGCTAATGGCTCACAGCTTACACTACCTCTCTCCTAGCCCAGACTGATGGCAGACATTACTAATTGATCATGATGAGTTCCACCTTTCCTTTGCCTGTGGCAGACTGTGCTAATCAATCGTGATGTGTACCACCTCTTCCTTATCTCTTGCTCACAACAGTCAGGGGCATAGATCCCAATGTTCTTTCTTGCTGAGTCCTGGGCTCACCTGTGCCCTTCACCTGGAAGTCAGTGCGGCGCTGCAGCGTGGATGGCAGCTCATTCAGCCGTAGGCTCAGCTGCCGTTTGAAAGGCGAGTTCTTCTGGCTAAGTGCTGGGAACCCACGGAAGGAACCCTGGCGAACCAGCTGCTCCAGGGGGGCATGGCGCCGGGGGATGGCAGCTGCAGTGGTGCCTGCAGCCACTGGGGTGCCTGCCTCACCCTTCTCACCAGGGGATGTGGTGGCCGGTGTTGGGGACACGTGCCCAGGCTGGGCAGGGCCAGGAGCCGCAGTTGGGGCAGCTGCTGCTTCTGCTAGAGACACGGGGGAGAGAGAGATGGTTAGATACCTCCCCTTGGCATGGGGGCCTCTCCTCAGTCCCCTTGATTGTTTTCCAATGCTGCCTTCCTCACCCCATGTGCTCTGGCCTTAAGACAAGCTCGTCAGAGTCCTGAAATGTCCCTCATCCCCACTCAAGCCAAGACCACTTTCCCCAGGAGGCCCATGCGGAGTCATCACCCAACCTGACCCTCTGTGTGTCTCAAGCTTTCTGTCCTCCATCCATCTTCCTCTGCTGCTTCTGCTATTTCTCCCTCTGAGATCTCCTGTCTCCCTTTCTAATCAATTTAACAAACACTTCTTTGGTGCACGACCAATGTATCAGGCGTTGTTCCAAGTGCCTTGAAAGGATGAACTCATTCAATCCTCACCACCACCCAATGAGGTTGAAACTATTTTACCCCATTTTACAGATGTGGTAACTGAGGCCCAGCAATGGCAAGAGACTTGCCTGAGCCACACTGAGAAGGAAGGGGCGGGCTGATTCCACAATCTGAGCTCCAAACGACTGTGCTAACCTGCCTCTTCCTCTGGCCTGCTCTCTCCATGTGATGCTGTCATCCTCCGTCATTCCATCTGCTCTGTTCTTTGTCTGCCTCCCACCATTCTTCCCGCCTCAAGTACCTCCTCCATTCCTTCAGTTGCTACCCATTGTTCTAGACCCAGCTTGGCACACTTCCTCTGAGGAGTTTTCCAGATTGTTTCAATCCCTCAGCTTGGGATCGCTCCCCTCTGGGGCTGCTCTTTGTCCTCTGTGGGCACTCGGTCTCCCCACTCAGCACAAAATGGCTGCCTATACACAAACACGCAACCATCCTCCCACGTGGCCTCACCTGAGCCATAGCCTGAGTGCTATGTGTGTGTGCTTAGTCACTGTTATGTCTGACTCTTTGTGACCCCATGGACTGTAGCCTGCCAGGCTCCTCTGTCCATGGAGATTCTCCAGGTAAGAACACTGGAGTGGGTTGCCGTGCCCTCCTCCAGGGGATCTTCCTGACCCAGGAATTGAACCTAGGTCTCCCGCATTGTAGGCAGATTCTTTACTGTCTGAGCCACCGGGGAAGATGCGTGCTAGTGAGGTTAAACTCAGGGGCTTCCCAGGCGGCACTAGTGGTAAAAAACCTGCCTGCCAATGCAGGAGATATGAGTCGCGGGTTTGATCCCTGGGTTGGAAGATCCCCTGGAAGAGGGCATGACAACCCACTCCAGTATTCTTACCTGGAGAATCCCACAGACAGAGGAGCCCCATGCTGGCTACAAACCTTAAGTTTACATTTGTCCAGTTTTGACAACTGTATACACTGTGTAACGAAACTGTGTAACATCAAGATCTAGAACATTGCCACCAACCCAGACCATCCCCTCATGCTCAGTCAGTCCCCACTCCCTAAGAAACAACCACCGTTCTGGTATTTTTTCATCACAGACTACTTTTGCCCATTCTGTAAGTTCCCATAGAGTATACAGTTCAACAGAGCCATAGAGTATTATGCTGTCTGTGGGTTTTATCCCTCATCGTGCAGTTGTGCACGGAGGTCCAAGTCACACACTGCTTGGCTCTTGTACCACTCAGGTGTGACACACACACACGCACAGTTATTTTTGTGGCCATGGCCATTTTGTTACTGCAGAGTGACCCACACACCTTGTGAGGGCCACTTGCAAAACGGGGGTCAAGGGCAGAGCCTGGGCCTGTTCCCTGACTTCCCAGAGTCTGAGATGGAGCCACCTGGTGCCAGCGACAGCGACAGCATCAGTGCCCTGTGCGCGCAGATCAGCTCGTTGTTCGCCAGCGCTGGAGCCCCAGGGTCAGGGCCACTGTCCATGGGGTCGCAGTCAACACGACTGAAGTGACTAAGCACAAGGAAGGCAGGGAGGCCGCCCAGCGCTTCTCCCATCGTCCACGAGGGGGCGATGAGGCCGTCCCCCAGGTCAGACTTGGGGCAGTGGAACGAGGCTGGGATGTGTTAGAACCACTAAACCACTTCTGCCCCCACCACCTGGGGCCTCAGAAAGTCTCCTCCTATCCCTGGGCTGCAGGTTCCCCAACTGAACCTGGAATAAACATCTCCCTGTTGCCTCCCCAGGCCTCCTGAGAGCCTCAGTTGAGACAGTGAATGTTCAATTGCTCTGGAATCCCACAAAAGCTTGGTAAACAACTTTGTGGAAAGGGCACTGTTCCCTATCTCCTAAATTGAAGAGAGCTCTTTTGTAGATGTGCGGGGCCTCCAGACTGTGAATCAGTGCATCATCGGGCAAAACATGGTGATGTGTTCAGCAAATCATATACCACACTTTGTAAACTCTCATTTTTGCGGTGCAAACTCTAAAATGCTTTCTATCTGGAAATTACAGTATCCTTTGGATGGAAACAGCAAAATCCATTGCAAACTCTAAAGCACATGATATTCTTGGTAAATTCTAATATCCTATATAAGTAGTAAACTTACCCACCCAATGTGTTCTTTTGCAAACAATAAAATATCTATATTCAGGCCCTCTGTTAACTATACTTTGTAATCTGTTTTGCCACTGTTCTTTACAAATTCTGATAGATGATGTAAACAGAAAATATTTTGTAAGCTGTGAAGAAATCTTTAAATTTGTCAAGAGGTTTGTAAGCGGTCCCATAATTTACCAAGAAAAACAGATGTTGTAAACCTGAATATTATAGCAAGTGATAAAAACTTGTTTTCCTAAACTTTTTAGCTAGAAATGTTTTAAGCTTACAGAAAAGATGTAAAAATGGAACACAGAGAACACAGGTTCTCTTAACCAAAGTTCCCCAGCATTAACTTGTTACGGTATTTGATCTGTCTCTCCTTCCATAATTGTCTTTCTGTAACATTTAAGTTGCACACAACAGCCAAGACATGGAAACAACCATCTGTCCATTGACAGATGAATGGATAAAGAATATGTGGTGTATATATATATATATATATATATATATATATATAATGGAATATTACTCAGCCATAAAAAGGAATGAAATAATGCCATTTACAGCAACATGAATGGTCTTAGAGATGATCATATTAAGTGAGGCAAGTCAGACAGAGAAAGACAAATATCAAAGATGTCACTTATATGTGGGATCTAAAAAAATGATACAAATGAACTTATTTACAAAACAGAAATAGGACTTCCCCTGTGGCTCAGTGAATCTGTCTGCCAACACGGGAGACAGAGTTTCCATCCCTGATCTGGGAAGATCCCACATGCCACAGGTCAGCTAAGTCCATGTGCCACAACTGTTGAGCCTGTGCTCTAGAGCCCAGGGGCAGAAACTAGTGAGCCCTCTTGCTCCAAATATGGAAGCCTTCAAGCTTTAAAGCCTGCACTCTGCAACAAGAGAAGCCACCACAATGAGAAGCCCCTGCTTGCTGCAACTAGAGAAAAGCCCAGGTAACAAAGAAGACAGCACAGCCAAATATAAATAAATAAGTAAAATTAGGAAAAAACCCAAACAGACATCAAAATAGACTCACAGACATAGAAAACAAGCCTATAGTTACCAAAGGGCAAGTGGGAGGCGGGATAAATTAGGAGTTTGAGACTAACAGATACACACTACAATATGTAAAATAGATAATTTGTAAAGAATTTTATCACAGTATAACTTCTCACTTTGGGAATTAAACATGGATATGATACCATTAGGTAACCTAGAGTCCATATTCCAACTTCTTTCTACTCATATTCTTTATGGATATTAATATATATTTCAACACATATATATTCAAAAAATATATATTGAATTGAACATTGAATACATATATTTATATAATATCCAGGATCCAATACACGATCGAACATTGCATTTTTTATTAATAATATCTGTCAAATCTCTTCAGTCTCCTTTATCCTGAATCCCAATGGTAAACTCTTTGTAATTCTAAGCAGTGTTTTCCAAAAATTTAAAAACTAAAATCCACAGTAAAAAAAAATAAAAAATTATATTTTGACCCAACACATAATACACTCAAATATTTAAAAAACACAGTTTGAGAACTTACAAACTGTTTGTCTTTGACCTAGAATGTTAGAGCCTGCCAGGTATTTTTCCAACTTTCATGACAGCAATCCACAGTAAGAAATACTTTTTACCTGGCAACCCGCCCCCCTCCCCCACCACGCACATAGACCCACTGACATAAAAGTACATAACTACACTTACCCTTATTACATTCCCCTACGCTGATATTTTTCCGTCGTTTTCCATTTTATTTCTTAAAATGCCAACCACAACCCAGCAATTTGACTTCGACAACCCATTAACAGGGTGGATACACAGTTTGAAAAGCCTGGGACCCTCCTTGGGTTAGCAGATAATAAAGCGCTCGGTGAGCTTTGCCAGGGTTTGTGGCCGGTAGAATATTGCCCAAAGGACTCCTTAAACCCAAGAACGCTGCAGAAACTGTAACCAGACTTCGTGGTCGGTGCCTTGCTTTGTTTTTATTTTTCTTTTTGGGGGTGGCTTGTTTTGGGGTTTGTTTTGTGTGTGTTTTCTTCTCTTCTTTGTAAACTGGAGAGGCCCTGGACCCCTGCTCTCCTCACCCAAACCGGATCCCTTAGCCACACCCCCGGCCCATCCGACGCCCCGCCCCGCCCCGCCCCGCCCCGCCCGCCGGGCAGCACCCACCTTTCTTTTTGTCCTGGGCCTCTCGCTCCGCCGGCCGCCCGCCCCCAGACAGGCGGAAGGAGCCCTCGCGGGCGAAGCTGGTGCGGCTGGCGTCGAAGGCAGCCGTGACCCCGCATTCCTTCTCCCGTCGCTGTTTCCGCTCCAGGCAGGCCGCAAAAGCACAGCCCACCGCGTGGCTCAGCCTCTCGCCCTGAGGGAAGAGGTGGAGTTGGGCTTAGCGACTCTGTGTGGTGCAGACCGGAAGCCGGGATCCCCGGGTTCCAGCAGCTGGGTGACCCCGAGTCCCTTCACCTCTCTTGGGCCTCCGTGCACAACTGCACGAGGAGGGACAAAAGCCGCAGACAAGAGCGTAATAACTGTATGGCTCTGTTGAGCTGCATTACTCTCTGTGAACTTACAGAATGGGCAAAACTAGCCTGTGATGAAAAACCATCAGAACAGTGGTTGTTTCTTACAGAGTGCGGATGGGTACTGATGGAGCACGAGGGGGCCAGTCTGGGTTGGTGGCGATGTTCTAGATCTTGATGTTACACAGTTTCGTTATACAATGTACACAGTTGTCAAAACTCGACAAAAGTATACTCCAGGTTTGTTGGCAGCATGAATTTCACTTCAAAAGAAGACGAGCTGGAGGGACTTCCCTGGTGGTCCAGTGGTTAGGACTCCATGCTTCCACTGCAGGGGACATAAGTTCAAACCCTGGCCAGGGAACTAAGATCCCATGTGCCTCAACTTGAAGTCAAAAAAGAAAGCTGGAAACAAATACGAATTCTGCTTACCGGTATGCAAGCTGAAGTGTTTGGGGGAAGTATTCTGATGTCTGCAACTTTGAAATGCATCAAAAAATAAGATGTGTAGGTAAGTGATATCAGTTCAGTTCAGTTCAGTCGCTCAGTCGTGTCGGACTCTTTGCAATCCTATGAACCGCAGCATGCCAGGCCTCCCTGTCCATCACCAACTCCCAGAGTCCACCCAAACCCATGTCCATTGAGTGGATGATGCCATCCAACCATCTCATCCTCTGTTGTCCCCTTCTCCTGTCCTCAATCTTTCCCAGCATCAGGGTCTTTTCCAGTGAGTCAGCTCTTGACATCAGGTGGCCAAAGTATTGGAGTTTCAGCTTCAACATCAGTCCTTCCAATGAAAACCCAGGACTGATCTCCAGGTAAGTGATATAAATCCAGACAAATGTTAATTGCCGGATCTGGGTAGAGGGGTGTACAAGTGACTGGTGACTGTACAAGTCTTTCAAGTTCGCCTACTTGAGAGGCTCCAAAGCCAGAGACAGCATCACTGACTCAAATGGACATGAGTTTGAGCAAACTCCAGGAGATAGTGAAGGACAGGGAAGCCTGGTGTGCTGCAGTTGATGGGGTTGCAAAGAATTGGACATGACTAAGCAACTGAACAACAACAAAGGCCAGAGAGCCTGAGATTGATACTGGCTTCCCATTTCTCAGCTGTGTGACCTCAGGAAAGTCACTTCCAGTATCCAAGCCTCCGCATCTGTAAAATGAGGGCTGTAATAGCACCCGCTTCATCGGGTTGTTGCAAGAAAGGTGAATGAATCTATGCAGGGCATGTGGCACAAAGCCAGGCAGAGGGAAACCCACATATATGTCAGCAAAAATCTTGTGTAGCCCTGGGTTGAGCCCTGGTTTGCATCCTTTTACAGAATCCTCACAAGAGTGCCAGGAGGTGGACAACCTTGTGAACCTATTGTACAGATGAAGAAACTAAGGTTCGGTCAACCTGCCCATTATAACAAGTGAATGGCAGAGTTTGGATTCTGATGAGGTATGTCTGACTTCTGTTCCCTAAACAAGATGCTCTGCTTCAGGTGCTGCTAAGTCGCTTCAGACGTGTCCGACTCTGTGCGACCCCACGGACAGCAGCCCACCAGGCTCCTCTGTCCACAGGATTCTCCAAGCAAGAATACTGAAGTGGGTTGCCATTTCCTTCTCCCAGGAACAAGATGCTTAGTTGCCTCTTAAAGGTAAATTTGAGGATAAACATCCTCAACCCAATGCCAGCAATCTGTATCCAACAGCACATTAAAAGGGTTATGCACCATGATCAAGTGAGATTTATTCCAGAATGCAAGGTTGGTTTAACATATGAAAATCAATCAACCACATTAATAGAATGAAAGAAAAAAAAAACCCACATGACTCTCTTGATTCTCACAGGAAAAGCATATGACAAAAGTTGGAATAGAAGGGAATTTCTTCAACCTTATAAAGGACATTTATGAAAAACTCACACTTAACATTATCCTCAGTGGTAAAAGACAAAGCTTTCCCCTAGATCAGAAACAAGATGAGGATGCCATTTTCATCATTTCTATTCAACACTGTATTGGAAGTTCTATCTAGAGTAACTAGACAAGGAAAAGAAATAAAAGGCACCCCAGGTTGGAAAGAGAGAAGTAAAATCACTTCTGTCTGCAGAAAGCATGATCATATAATTAGAATATCATAAAGGAGCCACAATTAGTGCAAATAAATAAATTCAGCACAGTTGTAGGATACAAAATCAACACATGAAAAAATCAGTTATATCTGTATACATAGGCAGTAAACAATTTAAAAATGAAATTAAGACAATTCCATTTACAGTACCATTAGAATAATAAAATGTATTTATTAAGAATAAATTTTGGTTAAGAATAAATTTAACCAAGGAAATAAAAGATGTAAACATTGAAAACTACACAACATTGTTGAAGGAAATTTAAGAAGATTTAAATAAATGGAAATACATCCTTGTGTTTGTGGATTGGAAGACTAATATTGTTAAAAGGGCAATATTTTCCAAAGCATTCTGCAGATTGAATGCAATCCCTTTTAAAATCTCAATGGGCTCTTCCACAGATGGAAAAGCTGATCCTGAAATTCTTATGGAATTGCAAGGGACTCACGACAGCCAAAACAATTTGGAAAAAGAATGAAGTAGAAGAACTCACACTTTCCAGTTTAAAAACTTACCCAAAGCTAAAGTAGTCACTGCAAAACAATGTGATACTAGCGTAAGGACAGACATATAGGCCAGCAAAACTGAGAGCGCAGATCCTGGAACAACTGGATATTCACATGAAAAATAAATGAAGGTTGATTCCTACCTCACATCATTTATAAAAATTAACTCAAAATGGATCAAAGACCTAAATAGAAGAGCTAAGGCTATAAATGGATGAATGGTTGGATGGCATCACCAACTCAATGGACATGAGTTGGAGCCAGCTCCAGGAGATGGTGAAGGATGGGGACGTCTGGTGTGCTGCAGTCCATGGGGTCGCAAAGAGTCGGACATGACTGAGTGACTGAACAAGAAGACTATAAAACTCTTAGAATAAGACATTTGGTAAATCTCTATGACCTTGGATTTGGCAGTGAATTCTTAGATATAATAGATGACACCCAAAACAGAAATAACAAAAGAAAAAAATTGAGAGATTGAACTTCATAAAAATGTGTACATTTGTACATCAAAGGACACTATCAAGAAAGTGAAAAGACACCCCACAGAATGAGGGGAAAGTTTTGCAAATCACACAACTGGTAAGTTCCTGGTTATCCAGAATATATGAAGAGCTCTCACAACAGTAAAAAGTCAAACAACCCAATTAAAAATGGGTAAAGGATTTGAATAGATATTTCTCTGAAAAAGATGTACAGTTGGCCAATAAGCATATGAAAAGATGCCCAACATCATTAGTCATCGGGGAAATACAAGGAGATACCCCTCACATCTACAGGATGGCTATAATAAAAAAAAGTGTTGACAAGGATAAGGAGAACTTGGAACCCTCATACAGTGTGAGTGGGAATGTAAAATGGTGCTGCCACCAAGGAAAACAATGTGGCAATTACTCAAAAAATGCACACTGCTATGTGTAAAACGGATAGCTAGTGGGAACCTGCCGTATAGAATAGGGAGCCCAGCTCAGCGCTCCGCAGTGACCTAGATGGGATGAGAGGTTAGAGGCAGGTCCAAGAGAGAGGGGATATATGTATACATATAGCTGATTCACTTCACTGTACAACAGAAACTAATACAACCTTGTAAAGCAACCACACCCCAGTTTCAAACAATGAAATTTACTATATGCCCCAGCAATTCCACTCCTAAGTACATACCCAGAAGAATTAAAAACAGGTATTCAAACAAATACTTGTATACCAATGTCCATAGAAGCACTAGTCATAATCGCCAAAAGGCAGAAACAAATCAAATGTTCATCAATGGATAAATAAAGTAAAATGTGGTATGTCCATACAATGGAATATTATTTGTTCATTAAAAGGAATGAAATTTAAAAAAAAGGAATGAAATACTGAGTCATGTTACAACAAGGATGAATCTTAAAAACATTATGCTAAGTGAAAGAAGCCAGTCATAAAAGATCATATACTGTGTGACTCAGTTTGTACACACTGTCTGCAATAGACAACTCCATAGAGATAGTAAGCAGGTAGTGACTTCTTAATGGATATGAGGTGTCTTCTAGAAGTAATAAAATGTCTGGAACTAGATAGAGGTGATGGAATTGTGTAAACAGCATTGTGAATATATATGTCACTAAATCGTACACTTTGGGACTTCCCTGGTGGTCCAGAGGTTAAGTCTCCATGCTCCCATTGCAGGGGGCACAGGTTCCATCCCTGGCTGGGGAACTAGGATCCCATATGCCCCGTGGTACAGACAAAAATACATAAATAAGTAAAATTTCAAAATAAGGAAAAATTCATGGAGCTGTGCCTGGGTCATCTGTACATGTTACTGTAGGTATATGCTCCTCAAATGAGAAAAGCTGGAGAAACATGAAGAATTATTGACAACGAGGAGGAGGATGATAAATGTTTTTCTGAGTGCTTCCTATATGCCAAGTATTGTTCCAAATTTGTTCTGTATCAAACCCGTCAAGTCTCACAATAATCCTCTGTTAGGGTCTGTGAATGGGTTTCCCAGGTGGCACTAGTGGTAAAGAACCTGCCTGCCAATGAAGGAGGCATAAGAGCTGTGGGTTTGATCCCCGGGTCAGGAAGATCCTCTGAAGGAGGGCATGGCAACCCACTCCAGTATTTTGCCTGGAGAATCCCATGGACAGAGAAGCCTGGCGGGCTTACAGTCCATAGGGTCACACAGAATCAGACACGACTGAAGCGACACAGCACACACACACTCAGTGACTGTGAACACACCCCCTTTTCCAGATGAAGACAGAGAGGAGAGGTAAAATGAGTGACTTGCCTGATACCACACAGAGGGCTGAAGTTGGGAATACCAGGGCATGGGAGTCAGAGTCAGTGGCTTTGGGCTTCGGTGATACTCACTGAATCCTTGAGCGCCAGGAAACAGTGGCAGATCCAGCGACGGGTGGTCCCATCACGGCAGATGTAGGAGAAAGCCTTGTCCAGGTTGCGGTCAGGAGCACAGAAGGAGACTTTTTCGATGGTCTGGTCCACCAGCAGGTCCTGGGAGGGAGGCCAGGAAAGGAATATGAACTGTCTCCCGTGTATTCATTCAGTATTCCCTTCGTGTCTGCACTGTGTCCATCCCAAATGGCTTGGGGACCCTGCATTTGTTGAAACAGCTGTGGGCCCTGTTTACATGGGACTCCCAAGTTTAGGGCAGGAGTCAGACTCATCACCCAAGGGAGACAGGCCAGAGTCCCAACCACGCTGTTCTTGATGGGTGGAGTGCTCAGGGCTGGATCTGGGAGGTGAGGGGCTTTTGGGAGCAAGATGAGGTGCCTGACCCAAGCTGGACGGGAGTCCGGCAAAGCTTCCTGGAGGGGGTGAATCCTTTTCAGTCATTAACCTAATTGTCATCACGTGCTGGCTGGCTTCCCGGGCAGTCTCTGGGCTAGGGGCAGGGAATTCAATGGTAAGCAGAGACCCAGGTCCTGGTCCACGGTGCTTCCATCTGGCCAGGCAGATGGACAATAAGCACGTAACAGCTAACATTTATTGATCGGAACACTTCTGCTATACCGGACGTGGTTTTAAACTATTTGCACATACATTCTTGTTGAATGGTAGGCTCCACTTTTATCCCCATTTTTGCAGATGAGGCAAGTGAGGCATGACAAGGGTTATATCTTACCCTGCGCCCCCTTCATGCCCAGGGTCACCCAGCTGGAAAGTGGGTGGGCTGGAAGACCAGCTGAGGCAACTGCTCTAGAGTCTGTGTTCTCACCCACACTCCATGCCAGTTCACAAATAGCCACAGGACTCAATCCTGAATTATGACTGTGAGGTGTGCCGATATATTACAGGAGCACATAGCTGAATCTCGAAGGTCTCCAAGGGAGGGACACCCCAGAGGTGGGTGAGAAGGCCCCATTCGAGCAGGCTGAGAGGGGGGCCCACTGGTGCCCACTCCCAGGCCCACAGGTCTCCTACCTTGGTCTTGTCATCCACCACCCGGAGCCCATCGGCTGACACCCACAGGACAGACTTCACGGACTTCCGACCCATCTGAAATGCAGGCAGACAGCAGGCGTGGTCAGGGCTGCCTCTCCTGCTCTGACCTTGCTCCCTCCCGCTCCAGCCCCTCACTCACCGCCTTCAGCTTCTTCACAGCATCTTCACACACATGCATCCCCCGGGACTCCTCCACCTCCACGTGGCCCAGGTACTTGGTGGGGAAGGGAAGGGAGGACACGAAACAAGCACAGTCATCAATGCTTCCGAATGTTCACTGGGCTGCAGTGTCCTATCAGGCAATGTCCTAAGCACATCGTGTGGATTAACTCATTACCCTGCATCTCAGACCTACAAGGTGGGGAACTCCATTCTCCTCCCATAAATACAAGTGAGAAAACTGAAGCACAGCTCGCACTAGTGATTCTCACTCTGCCTCTATCCCTGGGCGTTTGTGTGTGTGTGTGTGTGTGTGTGTGGAATATAATTGCTTTATAATGTTGTGTTAGTTTCTGCTGTACAACAACGTAAATCAGCTGTACATATATCCGCTCCCTCCTGAGTCTCCCACCCATCCCCTACCCCTCACTCCGCCCCTCTCGGTCATCACAGAGCACCAAGCTGGTCTCCCTGGGTTATACGGTAGCTTCCCAATAGCTAGCTATTTTATTCATGGTAGTATACGTATGTCAATATTACTCTCCCAAATTCGTCCCTTCTCCTTCCCCCGCTATGTCCACAAGTACGTTCTCTACGTCTGCACCTCTCTTCTTGTATCCCTGGGCTTTCTTAACACATCTCGGTGTCCTTCTGAGTGACACTGTCTGCCTCTGCGCCTGAGGACTGGCCTCATGCGATGACTGATGGGAGCTGGGGTACACATGCTCCAGCTCCCTCACCCCGCGGGTGGGATGGTTCCATTTCCCAGAGTTCCCCAGTGGCATCAAACTCAGTCGCTCACAACTGTAGTTTAGTAAAACACCCTTTATTGGCCGCCTTCCAGTCCTCATTCTCTCCAGCATTTCCTGTACCTCTCAATAGCCCCTCACACAAGATCCACTTCTAGGGGAAGGGAAAATAAGGCAGGGTGGGGAGGAGAGGCAAGTATGTGTGTGTGGGGTGGGGGACCCCCCGTTCTGTGACCATCATCTGTTGTCTCCTAACCAGGAAGAGACTGAGTGGAGATTTGAACCTGAATCTTGCCGTCTCCCTTATAAATTTTAGTGTTTGTTGTAAAGGGTCGTGGTGGTCTAAACCAGAAAGTACTTAACAGTAGTGAAAGTGAAAGTCGCTCAGTAGTATCGGACTCTTTGTGACTCCCATGGACTATACCGTCCATGGAATTCTCAGGCTACAGTACTGGAGTGGGTAGCTTTTCCCTTCTCTGGGGATCTTCCCAACCCAGGGATAGAACCCAGGTCTCCCGCATTGCAGGCGGATTCTTTACCAGCTGAGCCACAAGGGAAGTCCAGGAATACTGGAGTGGGTAGCCTATCCCTTCTCCAGCAGATCTTCCCAACTCAGGAATCTAACCGGGAGCTCATGCATTGAAGGCGGATTCTTTACCAACTGAGGTATCGGGGAAGCCCACTTAACAGTAGAGGGCTTTGCAAATGCTACAGAATCTTTGTGACCTTCTAGTGCCCCCCCCCCCCCGGAAACTGTGAGCTCCTATAGAACAGCGTGACTCCAGGCGGGACGCGCCCCCCAACACACACTGCAGGTAATATTTTCCTGGCACAAGAGAATGTCTTGGGTTTTAATCCCAACTGTGAAGGACCCAGGTAGGGGAGGGGGGCGCTAATGTTGCAGGATCCACATTTCTTTGCGGATGTCAAATCTCTTCCACACAGGCTGTCTCAGTCACCTCCCTGGGCACTGGAACGCCTGCGCACATCAAACCGTGGCATACAGCTGCAGCCACGCCCAGCCGAGCCCCGCCCACTCACCCTGACCGGGAAGCTGCACGTGCCCTTGCGCACCGCGTCCTCGTCCGCCTGCCACTGGTGTGGGCGCGACGCTTCAGGCACGTAGGCTGGCTTCCTCCGCCGCAGGCTCTGCCTTAGCTTGTTCATGGTGCCCGCCCCGTCTGCTGACACAAAACAGGGGTGCAGGTCAAGGGCGAGGGTCAGAGGCATGGGGCTCAAGGAGGGGAAAACAACGCGCAGGGAGCACAGGGTCAGGTAACATGGCAGTAGGGTTACAGGGTTAGGGGCTCACTGGGTCAGAGGATCTGACATTTGGGGGTCATGGATCAGCAGCGGTTAGGGGATCCTGGCACGGGGGCACCTGGAAGGCAGGGGAGTGAGAGAATTGGCAGCAGGGATTCAAAAGACATGGGGCTAGGGACTTCCCTGACTGTCCAGTGGTGAGTGGTTAAGACTGGGTGCTTCCAACGTAGAGGGTACAGGGCACAGGTTCCCCCTGGTCGGGGAACTAAGATCCCAGATGCCCTGTGGTGAGGCCAAAAAAAGGCATAGGGCTAAGCGGCATGGAGTTCTGGGATGGGGTGTCCTGAATCACAGCTTTTAGGGGTCTGGAGCTTGGAGATGTGACAGTCAAGAGGCATGATGATCCAATGTGATGGGAAGTTAAGGCAGTGGGGGACCTGGGAGGTAGAGGGCATAGCAATCAGGGGCTGTGAGGTCAGGGGGTTTAGGGGTAAAAGGTCAGAGGTGGTCAGAGGCCACAGGAGTTGAGAGTTGCATGGGTCCAAATGGGGGGGTGGGGGACACAGAAGGTCCAGGGGTGAGATTCAGAGCCCAGGCCAGAGAGTGTTGGGGACGGGCTGGTCTCTGATGCAGATACAACCGCTCAGACGACTACTGTCTGTGAGTGTGTGTACAGCTGAAGCTTGTGTGGAAGGACGCAGGTCTGAGAATGGTTGTGTCTATGAGTCTGAGAGTGTGTGTGTGAATGCTGTCTGTGAGGGGATATCTGTGGCCAAGATTGTGGTTGTTGTCTGAGTGTCCCTGAAGCTCATGGCTAAAGAGAGTGGTGGTAAGTGTGTGTCAGGGAATGTTGCCTGTGAGGATGGGTCTGTGTTTGAGCATGAAGCTGTTTTCTTTGAAAGGCCATGTCTATGACTGTCATCTTTGATGCTATGTGTCTGTGTGAGGATGTGGCTGTTGTCTTTGATGACTTTTGCCCATGACAATGTGTGTCTGTGAGGGATACTCAAAACACCATGTTTGTCTAAGAGTGAAGCTGTTGGTAGTGAGGCTGTGTTTCCATGGCTGTTGTTTTTGACAGTGTGTCTGGGTCAGATCACATGTTGTTACAGAGAGTGTGGGTCTGTGAGTGTTGTTCTGGGAGTGTGTCTGTATGCAGCCATGTGTCTGTGAGGGTATGTGAGGACATGAGGCTGTTGTCTTTGACACTGTGAGTGTTATTTATGAAGGTGTGATGGTGTGAGAATGTGGCTACTATCTATGACAGTGCTGACTATTATTTGTGAGACTGTGTGTGCAAAAGTGTAGCTCTTATAAAGGCACGAGCACATGGGTGCTGTCTGTGAGGCTGGATCTGCTTGTGAAAGTGTGGCTGTGGTCTGTAAAGTGTGGGTCTGTGCGTGTTGTTGGAGAAATTGGATAAGAGGACATTTCTTGAGAGTTCCCAAGTCTGTAGCACTCGCCTGGGAGGGAGTCTGGATGTTGTTGAGGATTGTGTCTGCATGTTTGTGTGACCCTACACCTGTGCATGCAGAGATGTTGGTGTGTGTCTGAATGTGTGTGTGTGTGTGTGTGTGTGTGTGAGACATAGTCTAGGTAGGTGAGTCTGTGAAGGAGGTCACTTGAATGTGACAAAAGTCATTCATTGATGTCCACTCATAAGTGTGATTAAGCCTGTGTGACTGCAAGGATATTTCCTCTGGCTGTGCTAGGCAGACCCACCCCCTCAGTCACCCTTCACCCAGTCCCCAGTTGGCCACTCACCTGGCTCCGTCCTGGAGATTTCAGGGGGCCCCAGGGCCCCACAGGGGGCAGGGGGCAGATGCTGCTCAGGCCTCCTGGGTCCGCCCTGCCCGAGGAAGGGAGGGAAAGTTGAGAAGCTGGCTTGGGGTGGGGCTCAGTCCCCTACCTCACCCCTTCTTCGGATATCAGCCAACCCCCCTTCATCTCAGGATCCCTGATGAGAGTCCTGGTTGCTATAGCAACTGTTACTAAGGCGATCAGCCACCTGGTTGCAAGGACCTAGGAATGAGTAGGTGTGTTTGGGGGCATCCGTTGGGGGTGTCCTGGCCTCAGAAGGCCGTCCGTACCCAAGGGGCTGGTGCGGAGTGGGAGCGAGCGGCCCTGCCCTCTAGACACATGTCCAGGGCTGCACACACACATACAGTCACAGGTGTACATGCACTCTGGTCTCCAGTTGTCTCCAGCACCTGGTTATAGCTCTGCACAATTAGTTACATACAGACACAACCACAGCTACACACACAGGATCACACAGATACACATCGACAGTCACAGCCACTGTAAATATCTGGCCACATATCCATGTTCACAGACACACAGTCTCTGCTACAGACCATTTGTCCGCAGGTAAAGAATCCGCCTGCAATGCAGGAGACGCGGGTTCAATCCCTGGGTCAGGAAGATCCCCTGGAAAAGGAAATGGCAACCCACTCCAGTATTCTTGGAGAAGGAAATGGCAACCCACTCTAGTATTCTTGCCAGGAAAATCCCATGGACAGAGGAGACTGGGAGGGCGGCTACAGTCCATGGTGTCACGAAGAGTTGGACATGACTGAGCAACGAGGCACACACACATACAGAGTGCCAGGCTGCCTTGGCAGCGCCACAAATGTCTGGTCATACCAGCAACTGATACTCGGTCACTTCTCTTTTCTCCGCCACATACAAAGAGCCGGGTCCAGGCACACCCACCAGGGCAGCCCGTGAACAACCACACCCAACGAGAGCTGTTTCCTCAGGCACCCATCCAAGATATTCATGTCACAGACCCACCCATGAAGAATCACACCCTGCTGGAGGTCACCTATTAGCACCGAAGCACACACAGTGTTCACACACAGCTCCCCTGCTGCCTGTTGACATCCGGTCAGGGACACATGTAGACGTACTGACACACATTTGATCACACTCAGCTGCAGCCACATGTGTCTAGTCATTGACCAGCACACGGCTGTACAAGGACACCTAACCCCAACTGTATCGGTCACACCAACACACCTTTTTAGTCACACACTGTTACACAGTCATACATCCCAGTCAGAGACATACCTTTGGTCACAGTATCAGCCACACTTCTATGGATGGTCCTCCATACGCAACCACAAACAGGGACCCTGATGGCCATGGCCCATGCATTAGAGAGAAACAGACACACAAACTCAAGACAAGCATACAACCATCCAGAGAAAGATCTCCCCGAGCCCCACTCAGACACAGCCAGACAGTTGGTGGCTCAGAGTCAGTCACACGCATTTCAGAAATGGTCATGTATCCAAAATCCCACCCCAGGAGTGTCCCCATTACCCAGCCATGTATCACAGTCATGGTACATCTATTGCAGTTATCCACCATCCAACTCCCAGCTGTACTATGTCACATTATCCCAGAAAAACAAACAGTCTCTGTTCCTGCAAACACGTAAGTCACACAGACAAGTATAGGCCCATGTACAATCACAGCCCCATGTGGACAGACACACCATATCTCACACACAAAAACATCAGCACACAATTTCCATCTCACACACCCAGATGGAGCACTTATAGCTATATTTACACAGAAGACATGGTTCTGGATGGAAACATGTGTGCTGTCAGGAGACATTCACTCTGTCACCAAATCACACAAATTCAACAAAGCAGCCTAGCATGCCTGCAGGGACACACACCCACCCACCCCAAACAGCCACACTGCTACAGACTCACAATCTTACAGACCATGACACAGACACAAGTAGGCAGAGTCACCCAGGGTCACAGACATGCAGGTCACACACAAATATAGAAGTCACAGTCTCATACACACACCCCCACAAACACATGCAATCACCTGGTGCCAGCACATACAGACCCACCTATAGGTTGAGTCACATGCAATTAAATAACTCACTATTAATAGTCAGGGTTCCAGACTCTTAAGTCAAATACATAACCCAAATCACACATACACAACTACAAATGCAGAGTCAGTATCAACACACAGACCTAAATGTAGTCATTTATACAACCCCGATCACATACATGGATGTGGTTATGAACAGAAATATACAAGTCACAGTGCCAGAACACAACCTGTCACATAAGCACAATGTGACTTCATATACAAAGACAGTCATACACCCAAAACTGCAGGCAGAGTTGTGTGTCACTCATGTGTTTGTGACAAACACATGGGTGACACACCTGTAAAATCAGCTAGATACACAACCACAAAGACTAGAAGTCATTAGAACAGTCGCACATGGACACAGAGTCAGACACAACTCCACTTCCAGTCACAACTCCACCCACATCTTCAGTCAGCCATACACATGCCCAACCCCAGACTCAATAGATACACTGTCACATACCCAGTTAGAGTTACCAAGGTACATATGTGAGGGTCACAAAAGATGTAATCAAAGATACAACCAGAGTCACAACTACGCACACAGAGACAAAATGAAAAGTACAGGGTTCTGCACATGGAGCAAGCAGCTGTCATAGATACAAACACAGTCACACAAATGCTGGGGTCACACACAAATACAATCACAGGCACTATCAGACACAACCACAAGCATGAAACACACACACACGATTCCTCAGTCCCCAGCAGCAGCTCACACAGACACACACAGGCAGCCACAGTCACAAAAACACAGGGTCACACTCTTAGCCACCTCCCCATCGCTGGCTTCCCCCCCTTCCCCCCAGGTACCACACACAAAGCCGCCGTCACCAGCACGGCAGACACTGCAGACAGACAGGGCTGTACCAGGTCCCTGGGGAGCCGCCCCCTGGCCCAGCTTGAATCCTGGAGCCTGGGGGGCCAGAACTGAAGAGGGAGGCGGTGGATTGTCTGCGGTTCGGGCCCCTCCCAGACAGCTGGGCAGCCCCCGGGACAAAGAGGGTGGCCCAGGAGACCTGTGCCCTGGGACCCTTGACCAAGCCTTTTTTTGTGTGGGGGGGGTTTGCCTGAAATTCCCATTATTTTATTCAGGCTTGAGGGGGATGGGGTCCCAGGCACAGAGACCTTGTTTTGAGAAAGGGATGTTCCTGGGACAGCGCCCAAGTGTGGGGGCGATGCTCTGCCCGGGATGCCTCTGAGGCCTGGGGACAGACTGTGCTTGGAATCCCCCCAGGCCTTGCCTTGGTGGGGGAGCTGTGCTCAGGGACCCCATTCTCAAGACCTTGCCTAGAGGGTTGTTGCGTTCAGAGACCCCTTCAGGCAGGGAGGGGTAAGGATTGTGTCTGGTGTGGAATCCCCTACTAGAGGCCTTGGCTTCCCACGGAGGTTGTGTCTTAGACCCCATCCCCAAAATCTTGCCTAGGAAGTTGTACCTAGAAGCTGTCCCCCTGTCTTTGATTATTTGGAGGGGGAGATCTCTTTCTGGGATATCTATCTTCAGAACCTGGGCAAGACAGGGCCTGTGCCCGAGACCCCCTGTCTCCCAAGATTCGGCTTGGAGCGGAGCGTGTTCCTGGACCACCCCCCAACCAGGACCACCCTCTCCAGCCTTGGCACCCTCTCCATCCGGGTGCCGCGGCCACCTCCCACCCTCCGCCACATCAGCAGCGGCGCCGCCCCCCACCCGAGCCCCCCTCTCCTGCCCTTCTCACTCTGGCCGCCGCGCTGCGGGACATCCAGGGCTTGGGCGCCCCCGCCTCCCGCGGCCCCGGCTGGGCCCGGATCCCCGAGTGCTGCTGCTGCTCTAGCGGCGGCGGCGGCAGCTCTGTCTGACGCGGGCCGGGGATGGGGGCCGGGGGTTGGTGCGGGATGCACGCTCGCTAGCCTGCTTCGCTCCCAGGAGGATTCCGTTCCAGGGGCGGAGGAGGGCCCCTCCCGCTTCGGCTCCCCGCCCTAGCCCCGCCCATTGGCCTGCCGCCTGCTGGATATGCAGAGAGACCCCGCCCCTTGAGCGGCAGACCCCGCCTATACGCAAATGTAACTCCGCCCCCTTCGGTGTGGCCACCGCCCCGCCACGCCCATTGGCCCGTCCTGGGCTGAGCACGCACGTGAATCTCGCGGACACTGGTTCCTCTCGGTCCATCCAGGCGTGGGCTCCTTTCCCCTCCGTGACCCCTGACCTCAGATCCCCTTAAGTTCTGCGTCCGAAAGATTTGCCTCGGGAGGCGCCTCGCCGCCCCACATCCCCAAATCTTCCAGCTAACCCCACGGCTCTCCCGGCCCAGCGGGGGCGGGCAGAAGCGGTGACGAGGCACTTTTTGCTGGGAAGGGGAGGGGGAGTGAACAGACCCCGACGTCCTGGTGCGCGGTCGGTTCAGCTTTGGGGGCGGGGGCGCCAGGCTGGGACGGGGGAGCGGCTTCTGGCCGCCCAAGCGCCTCTGCTCCCGCCCAGTCCTGTGGGTTTGGCAAAGCAGCTGGCAGGGGCATTAAGGCCCATTAGCAAAAAAGCGAGGTTGCTGGGAGCCGAGCGGAGAGAGCCAGGAGGCTGGGAGGTGGTGTGTGTATGTGTATGTGTTCTGGGGGGTGGGGAGGAAGGCCTTCTCAGCTGCCGCAGCCTTCGGAGCAGGTGGTCAGCACGTGCGGGAGGGGCGGGGGTGGGGGGCGGTAGGGAAAGGAGAGAAGGAGGTTCCTGGCAACAGATGGCCCAGGCAGGACTGGGGCTTTCAGACAAGAGGGTGGGAGGGGGCTGGCCATCTGCACCTGGAAGCAGCCTGCGGACCGCCCCCCCCCCGCCCCCCAGCAGAGAAAAGAACTGGGGGAATGGGAGGGTCACTTTTATTGGGACTGAAGATTCACCCCCACCCCACCCCCCACCCCCGCCATGCCCTCCCCAAACACACAGGGGATGCCACCAGGGAGAAGGCAGCTGGTGCAGGGGTAAGCAAGGCAAAGGTGAGGGCTGCCTCCACCAACCACCACCCCTTCCTCTTTCACGGACCACATCTATGGAGGACCTGAGGCAGGTGAGGGGCTCCCCCTCTAGCTGCCTCTGCATCTCCATGATGGCAGTGCAGAGGGGCCTAAGACTCTCTCAGATGTTTCCAGAAATAAATTAATACCAAGGTAGAATTCCTGGATGCTCCCTTTGGAGTGGGGAGGGCAAGACAGGGGGATATGAAGCTGGGAGTGTCCTACTCCCAAGGCCAAGGTGGGTCCCCAGGCCTAGAGCAGGGAGGGGAAAGAGGTCTCATAGCAGGGGATGGCCTGCTATGGGGCTGGAGTCCTAAGATGGAGTCTCTCTGACGGGTCCTCTGGTTAGGAGGCTATGGGCCATGGCTATGCCTGGCGACTGGCCCAGTAACGGTGGTAGGTGTCCTGGAAGAGGTCCCGGCAGGCGATGTGGGCACGAAGGTGGGCACAGGCCAGGAAAGCCCCGGCCAGCTTTCGGTGCAGGGCATAGGTTTCCTCGGGTGGTGGGCGAAGCCGGTGCCGCAGTAGCACAGGGATGAGGCCCTGCACGCGGCGGGCAGTGTCACCCGCCCCAAAGTCATAGGGGCCCTGGGTGGCGAAGGGCTCCCCCAGGATCATCACAGCCTCCACGTGGGCGTCTGAGAATGCCTAGGGGTCGGGGGGACCAGAGGCACCCAGTGTGGACATATAGCCCTCTGCTCCCTCAGAGTCTCAAGGACAAACACAAGCCCTCAATTCTCCAGAGAGTAACAGGCAGCCTCCGCTCCTTCCGGAGCCCCTAAGAGACAAGCAGCCCTCCTCTACTCCCCAAAGCACCCTTCCTGTCCTCTCAGGGCCTCCAGTAGACACATAGCCTTAACTCTATTGGACAGAGATGCAGCTTCTGTTACTCAACCCCCTGCCCCACCGGATGTACAAGCAGCCCCCCACTCCCTCTCTAGAATAGATGAGTGGTACCCCCATTTACCCCCTCCTCCCCAGAGCCCCCAGTACAGAGAAGCAGTCCCCCTAGAGTCCCCCACTCATCCACAGTTCCCCCAGTAGAGAGAAGTGCTTTTACTCCCCGCAAGGAGACACCAGCTCCAACTCTCCTCACCTTGGTCTCAAAGCCTGTGAGAAATTTGAGGTCTCTCGACTTCTGCAGGACCTGGTCTTTATCTCCATTGGCTGCAGCCATCACCACCTGCACAGGCGGATGTGGGCACAGAGGCAGAGGGGTTCAAGGATGGGTCTGGAGATGGGAGCTGGAAGCCTGGCCCTGCCCGGATCCACTTCCGTTCTCCTCCACCTAAGCTCGCTCACCTGGAAGCCTCTCCCTCTCCACCTTACCCCTGTCTGTGCCTCTCTCAAGACTGTTCCTGAGCCTGGGGGTTGGGGTGGTCAGGCATCCCACCCACTTGGCTGGGAAGGCAGAGGCTGCCTGGAAGCAGGACAGAGGAAAGCAGATGCCAAGTGATGTTCACAGGTCCAAACACTTAGTTGCTAAAGGGTGTGACAATGACCCAGAACTGCCTCTGAGGTTGCCATCTCTGGGATCACTTGATGTCTGGCTTCCATACTGGATTTGGAGCCCCAAGAGAGCAGGGATCCCAGTTGGGTGTAGTCCCAAGTGGCACAGGGTCTGGCACTCACTCAGGAGGCCCTTGGTGAAAACCCTTGTTTAGTAAATCAGTGTTTGGAGCTAAGCAGTTCTCCAACCATGTAGGATGGGCAGGAGTTGAGGGCACAGGGACAGACAGACAGAAGCGGGAGCCAGCCTGCTTGGGCTCCATCCCAGCTCTGCCACTCACTGGCTGACTCTGGGCAAGTCGCTTTGCTTTGGGGGTCTCTGCTTTCTCATCTGTGAAGTGGGGATGATGAAAGTGTCTTCCTCATGGGGCTCTGGGAGGATGAAGGAGGTGTATCTGTGGAGTGCTTCGCATGGTGCCTACGCATGTGTGTGTGTACTCAGTTGTGTCCGACTTTTTGTGACTCTATGGACTGTAGCCCTCCAGGCTCCAATGTCCATGGGATTTTCCTGGCAAGAATACTGGAGTGGGTTGCCATTTCCTCCTTCAAGGGATCTTCCTGACCCAGGGATTGAACCCATGTCTACCCGTGTCTCTTGCATTGCAGGTGGATTCTTTACCACTGAGCCACCAGGGAAGTTGCCCACATGAAGGAAACACCATAAATATCATGAATTTCTATCACTACAGTAAGTGCCCTACATACAAATGAGTTCCTTTCTGAGAGCACTTTCCTAAGTTCAGTTTTGTTCCTAAGCCCAAAAAAATTAGCCTGGGTACCCAGTTAACACAATCAGTTATATACTGCTGCTTTTACGCTTGCTTCCAGACATCTTGGGCTTGAAAGAAAGATGTTGTACTACTGTACTCCATACTGTACAGTATAACAAAAGCATAGACTCTTGTAGAGGATGCACGCAGGTGACAACAGAGGTGACAGTATACGCCAGACACGTGAACTAACTTACGTGACCAGACATGTGAACACAGGTTCGCATCTTTGAAAGTTTGCAACTTGAAGGTTCGTGTGTAGGGGACTTACTGTATTAAAAGGTGGATAGGAGGGTCCCTGCTTCCCAGAAGAGGAACCAGGCTCAGAATGGGGAATGGCATGGCGAGGAGGGGAAGGGAGACGAACCCTTCACCACTGGGTTGCCCCTTCTTGGGAGGAAGGGGGATACAGGATTAAATCTGGCAGTTCTGGTCTGTCCCAGCTCCTCCTGCCCCAGTCTGTCTGGCCATCTGTCATGCCTGTGGTCCTCGGGGGACTCGTGTGACAGGGCTTTTTTAAACTGGAAAAGGCTGGGGAGGCAGCAGGAGGGCCATGCTAAACAGGACTGTGGGGGTGGGGAGGGGATGTCTCAACTACCCAGAGAGGCCTCAGCTTTGTGCCTCAAGAGTGGCCTGCAGAGAGAACCCCAGGGAGGCTCTGTGTGTGTGTGTGTGTGTGTGCGCGCGCGCGCGCGCGCGCGTTTGCGGGGGCGGGGAGCAGTAACCAACTCCTTCCTGTCCCCATCCAAAGGGGACCCCCCACCCCACAAGGCCCAGCTCCTCAAGCCAGAGCCCTGGGCCTTGTCTCTGACAACTCTCTTCGGCCAGCTCCCCAACCCCATTCCAGTCTCCTAGGGTTTAAGAAACCACTTGTTATTCAGGAGTTTCCTAATTCTATGTCCCTCCCCTCCTCACAAGCTGCAAAGCCTGGCTTCAGAGATCCAGAGCCTTATTATTTCTTAATGCCAGACATTGTATTTCTCCTTCTCTGCAAGCCTTAGTATCTGGCTTGAGGCTTGGCCCTTCAGAGACCCCAGGGCTGAGGGGCACTCACCTCAATGTAATGGTCTGTGAATTCGGTCCCAAATTCCCGGCTTGCCCCGAAGTCCAGCAAGGTCACCTGGGATTGAGGGATGGTGAAAGTGACGCTGGGTGTCCACCAATGCTCCCCATTGTCTGCCAGGGCCCATCCCTCTGTCCCCCCACACACACCTCCTCCGGCCCGAGTCCCTGACCAGCCCCCTCCCGGGACTCCTGGCTTCTGGTCTCCACACTTCAATCCATCCTCACATGAAGCTGAAGGGACCTGGTTTTTATTTTGGGGGTTCTAGTTGTTTTTATGATAACATGTTTCAGGCACAGAAGAAAAAAAAAACATCCAGAGAATAAGAAAATACATGGAAAAGTAAAATCAATGCTCACAAATCCTACTACCCAGTTTAAAATTACTACCAATCAAAGTGGGGCCTGATTCTACCTCCCCCAGTCCCTACCCTCTCTTTCAGGGTCACTACTTTCCTGAAATTATTATTGTTTCCTGAAATTCCCATGCATGCATTGCTACATTTTCTACATATATGTGGACCCATGAACAATACATAGTCATGTTTTACATATTTTAAAACTTCACATACATGGCATTTACGATAGTTATTCTGTAAATTCTTTGTGTTTAACATGGTTTTGCAATTCACCCCCCACTGTTCTAGCTCTTTCATTCATTTTTTCACTGCCCAGTTAAGATCCTGTTGGGTGAATATATCACATTTATCTGCTTGATGGGCACTGTGGTTATTTTGGGGTTTTGCTAGTGAATGAACACATGTGTAAGTTTCTCTGTAACCGTGGAGTTCAAACTATTGATCACAATCCACAGTAAGAAAATGCAGATTCAAAAATGAGGGGATACAAGGATACACATGGCTAATTCATTGAGCTCTACAGCAAAACCTGACACATCAGTGTAAAGCCACTATTTGTTGTTTAGTCGCTAAGTTGTGTCTGACTCTTTTGAGACCCCATGGACTGTAGCCTGCCAGGCTCTTTTGTCCATGGGATTTTTCCAGGCAAGAATACTACAGTGGGTTGCCATTTCCTCCTCCAGGGGATCTTCCGAAACCCAGGGATGGAACCCACGTCTCCTGCATTGGCAGGCGGACTCTTTACTATTGAGCCACCAGGGAAGTTCTATACTCCAACTTTAAAAAAAAAAAGGGAAAAGAAAATGCAGATTATTCTGGGCTCCAGTGCTAATGCACACATAAATATAAACATCAAACACAAGTGTCCCGAAACAATATGATCCTTCCCACTGGCAACATAGTCTATGCCTTTAAAATAAAACTGCTTCTGAGACCCAACGAATTGATGTCAGGACTCAGATCATCGCCCTCCACCCCGACCCTGGCCCCCAAGTTGGGAAAACTGCCCTCCCTGCCGTGGGAGTCTTGGAGGGATGCAGGGTGTCTGTGCACTTGGGGGAAGAAGGTGGCAAGGGACAGAGGCTGGTTACAGTGGGGCCATGTCATCCTCAGCACATGGGAGGGTGCTGGAAGCTGTGGAAGGGACTTGTGTTTTAGAAGGACCCCTCTGGGGACAGAATGGCACAGATCACTGTGGAAAGCTACTGAGCAACCGAGAGCCTTTCAGTGCAACCTGTCACCCCCAGGCCTTTGGATGGCCTGTGTCCTTTACCAGGAAAGCTCTTTATTCCCTGCTCCTTAAATGGCTGTGCCTCTCCCGTCTTTCTGGCTTCAGCTTCCTTGGCCCCACTCACCCCAGGCAGGTTAGCCACTTCCCCTGGCTTCCCACCAACCCCTGAGCCTCCCCCATCACTTGACCCCTCTGTGGCCTGTGCTTCCCTGCCAAGGTACTAACTGCAGGTCACATTGTCTGGTGATGGGGCCCTGTGTTGGGTGAGGAACTCTGGGAAGGCAAGGGTCGGTGCTGTCTTGGCATCACTGTCAAGAGGCAGTAGGTGTTAATACTTGGGATGTTCTAAATGAATGACAGGTGAGGTAATGACTCTTCTCCATTGCCACTAGGAAGTCACTGCCTAGCCAGAGATTTCCCAGCATCCCTTGCACCTAGATAAGTCATGTGTCCGGTTCCTAACAACAGAATGGTGAAGAGAATGATGGGTCATTTCTGGCCAAAGCAGTGAGGCAGGGGTTACCTTCTCAACCTCTCTTTCCCCTTGCACTGGAAGGAGAGCCTTTCAAGGCCTGGGGTGGGGGTTGGGGGGGCAGGGTGGCACACTCACAAAAGGGAAGGAGCCTGGGTCCCTGAATCACTGCATGGAGGAGGCTGCTCAGCCTGCTACAGTAGCTATTGGAGCTATTGTGCTGAGCTACTGACACACTGGGAAATATCTGTTACAGCAGCTGATGCACCCTGACACATCACAAGAAACCCACCTGGTGACTGGAGGCATCATACAGGAAGTTGGCCCAGTTGGGGTCCGTCTGCATGAATCGGAACTCAAACAGCTCCCGAAGACAAAGCCTCAGGAGCTGGAAGCAGATCTGGGGTGGGGAGAGGAGTAACAGAAATCTCAGAGTCATGTGCCCCTGTAAAGCCCTCTGGAGCCTGGAGGGGGACTGTGGTTCTGACCTGCCCCACCCGGCCAGCCCTGCCCCAGGGCAGCACCTTCTGACTGCCCCATGAGTCCATGTACCTGGTTCCGGATGTCCTGGCTCAAGCCCTGGCACTGGTCCAGGGGGACCCCTCCAGCCAGCTCCATGCCCAGCACCCGCGTCGTGCACAGCTCCTGAATCACCGCTGGCACCCGAAAGAAGGGGTCATCCGCCAATAGCTGCCTGGGGCAGATGGGAGGGTAGGGGTGGGGACCTCACTCTTCAGGTCCCTGTGGCCCTTGGCGTGAGTCCTCCCCCTCCTCTGAGAAGTCTTCCACGGGAAAGTCTGTGTCTCGTCTTCTTTCCTGCCCTCTTCTTCCCTCTCTGCCCTGACTGATGGCCAATACCTGGCTGGACTGACACCCATTCAGACATTTCCTTCATTCACTCATGCATTCATGCAACAAATATCTCTGTGCCTGCCCCTAAGAGTGGCTGGAGACCCAGGAACCACTTCCCTACCGGAAACACTTCTCACCCCAGGATGAGCTCAGTATATTAAACTCAGTGAGCATTACTTTCTCATCAACTTATTAATTCATCTATCTGAAAAACAGTCACTGGTATACAAATCTTTGAGTCCACAGTGATACTCACTGGCCACTCCTTGGAGTCATTATTCCAAACACTGACTAATAAAGGGCATTCTCGGTGTCTATCCCTGTGTTGGATGATGCTGGCTGACAGAGCAGTTAAGAGGAGCCCCAGGCATGCCCCTGCTGCCCCCACCATCAGTCACAGAAGACCACATTCTAACAAACAGACCAACAATAGACTGAGATAAATGTGTCACTGTAAGATATGGGGGGCAAAGAATATGAGCAAGGCCTCTGGTTGGGGACCTGTGGGAAGGCTGGCATTGGGGGTGGGGGGACAGGGAGCTGGGGAAATGATGTGGGTTTTATCCTAAGAGCACTGGGAAATTCTGGGAGGGGGTGGTCTCCCCTTACCCCACACAGGGGTGCTCTGGCCCAGCCCACTTGACACTCCTCCTCCAGGTCCTACTTTGCTGTGCTGTGCTTCGTCACTCAGTCATGTCTGACTCTTTGTGACCCCATGGACTGTAACCCTCCAGGCTCCTCTGTCCATGGGGATTCTCCAGGCAAGTATACTGGAGTGGGTTGCCAGACCCTCCTCCAGGGGATCTTCCCCACCCAGGGATCTAACCCAGGTCTCCTGCATTGACATTCTGCTTTGGGGGCTGGTATTTTTGTGCTTGTTGATTAGATCTCTGATGTTTGAACTGCTCCTCATGGGCCAGGCTTCTGCTGAGCATTTAGTCAGCACAATTCCCTCTTTTTAAAAAAATATTTATTTGGTTGCGCTGGGTCTTAGTTCCAGCACACGGAACGTTTTAGTTGTGGCCTGTGAACTCTTAGATGTGGTGTGTGGGATCTAGTTTCCTGGCCAGGGATCCAACCCTGGGCCCCCTACATTGGGAGCAGGGAGTCTTAGCCACTGGACCACCAGGGAAGTCCCAGTATAATTCCCCTTTATCCTCACTTCCCCTGAGGAGGATGCTCTCTCAAGGCCACCAGGCGGATTAAAGCTACCCAGTCCATTAAGGACTGACCCAGGACTGAATCCTGAAACTGGATCCCACATCTGAGCCCAGGCCCCTAACCACTGCCTTCTACTGCCTTCGTATCTACAGAGCTGGGCTCACTAAACATGTGGGCCACGCTTCGCACTGTGGAGGGTCTCACTGAGATGTAATTAATTGCAGTTTATCACGATGCCCCTAAGATACAACCACTGTTCCACGGAGCTGTAGTTCATTCCTTTTCGATGCTACGTGATACTGTGTTGATGAATATGCCATAATTTATTTATCCGCCCTGCTGGATAAGTTAGATAGATTTGGGTTGTTTCCAACTTGAGGCTATGAGTGTTCTGAGTATTCTGGAAAAGTCTGATGGTGTGTACTGCCCTAAGTGTCCCTAGAGTATTTAGTCAGGAGGGCAACTGTTGGGTTAGATGTGGATCCTGAGCTTTGATGATGCCAAAGCATTCTCCAAAATGCTTCTATCCATTGTTCCTCCTGCCCATAGAGTATAAGGGATACCCTGGAGCCCCCAGCTCTTTTTTTTTTAATTTTATTTTTTGGCCACGCTGTGAGGCACATGGGGATTTAGTTCCCTGACCAGGAATTGAACCTGTGCCCCTGCATTGTAAGGGCAGAATCTTAGGGACTGGACCACCAGGGAAGTCCCTGGAGCCCCCAACTCTTGACAAACAGACACACAGACACACACAGATGGCTTCATCTCTGTTAGTCCAGTGGGTATGATGGTATCTCGTGTGACTGAGTGCCTGTTGACAAGTCTGTCTTCTGCATCAGACTGCAGTGGTTCAGTGTCCCATTTGACAGATGAGAAAGTAGAGACGTTTAGAGAGAGGAATTTAGAATGCTCACAGAGGACACAGGGTGTGAATGAAGTAATGAGTGAAGGGCTGGATGGATGATCAAATGAATGAAGAGAGAAACAGTCTGCCAGCCCCACCCCAGGACTCCAGCTGCCAGAAGCTGTGGGGATACCCACTTCCCTTTCAGCCCATGAAGGAATCTGCAGGGAGGAAGGGGGCCTCCAGGGGCCTATGTGTGTGTGTTAGTCACTCAATCGTGTCCGACTCTTTGCGACCTCATGGACTGTAGTCTGCCAGGCTCCTCTATCCTTGGGATTTCCCAAGCAAGAATACTGGAGTGGGTAGCTATTCCCTTCTCCAGGCGATCTTCCCCACCAAGGGATTGAACCCAGGTCTCCTGCATTGCTGGCAGATTCTTTACTGCCTGAGCCACCAGGGAAGCCTGTCCAGGGGCCTGTAGGGGCGTCAGCTCACCTGAAGTTCTGGGCACAGGCCGCCTCACGACGATAGTCACACTCCCATGCCAACTCCCGCTGCAAGGCCTGCAGGCTCTGCTCAGCAAACAGGCCTGGGGGTGGGGAGTGGGGGCGGGGGGTGGGGGCAGTGCAGCCATGTCAGGCAACGAAGGCCAGAGCCTGCCTCCTGCCCCCTGCCTGACCCCTCAAGCTCCCACTCAGGGACATCTTCTCTTTGCCAGTCGTGTCTGTCACTCTGTCTCCCCAGCCCTCGTCCTTTCTGTTCCATGTTTTCACCCACACGGTCTGGGTACACACTCCCCTCAGCCCTTCACACAGCTGCGGGCTCTGTGGAAGCTTCTTGGCTGGGGTCTCTTTCTTAGGCATGCACACCGGTCCTTGGGCCCCTTTCACAGTCACATCTGCCACGTATTCTCTGTCCCTTTTTTGGCCACGCTGCACACACCATGGCATGTGGGATCTTAGTTCCCCGACCAGGGATCGAACCTGTGCCCCCTGCAGTGGAAGCGCAGAGTCTTAACCACTGGATGGCCAGGGAGTCCCCCTCTGTCCCTATTTCTTACTCTCTCACGCTGCTTCCAGTGTCTCTGAAGCTTCCTTCTGGGCCTGACTGTCTCATTCTCGCTCTCCCCCTGCCCCCTCTCTCTCACACACACTCTGCTCCATCTCCCTCAGGCGCTCTCTCACATACTGCAACAAACTCGGGAGGCCCCACTGACACCCCCTCCTGTTTCTGTGGCTCGTTCTCAGACCTCCTGTCCCGCTCTGCACATCCTGTGTGTCTGTTTCTGGATTTCTGTCTGGGCTTCTGTCTCTCAGGATCTCTGTCGGCATGTCCAAGCTTGACTTTGTCACACGCCTGTACCCTGGGCTCTCCCCACCTTGGTGTCCCTTCATTCTGTCTTAAACACCCAGACTTGGGTGCTCACTCGGGCTCACACATGTGAAACACTCTGCCCTGAGCTGCTGGCCACCCCTGCTGCATCCAGCCCCCACCTCCTTTATCTCTTCAGGGCGCCACCCCACAGTCGGGGTCGGGATGAGGGGGGGTACTGGGTGCCTCACCCTCTGGCAGGGCCACGCTCATCTTGAGCACCGCCAGCAGGTTCTGGACGTCGCTCTGGATGCTCTGGGCAACACCTGGGTACTGGGAGAGGAGGAGGGAGGGGAGGAGGGACGGAAGATGGGAGTCACCCCCTGGGGTGGCCAGGTGCCCACCCCATTCCCACCCTGCCTCCCCTCTCACCTGGATCTTCACGGCCACCTCTGTGCCGTCCCTCAGCATGCCCTGGTGCACCTGTCCAATGGAGGCAGCTGCAAAGGGCACCTCCTCCAGAGAGGCCACCTTGGCCTGCCAGTCCCCGCCGAGCTCCTCTTCGAGAACTCTCTGGGGAGAGTGGTCATGACACTCGTCATCGTGGTTTCAGGCAGCTGGGTCCTCGCCTTGTGCTGGGCGCTTCATGTGTTAATAACCCCACTCGCCACATGCAGGGCTCTAGGCCAAGCTCTTGGCTGCTACTCCACTTTACGGATGAGGAAACTGAGGCTCAAAGAGAGGCCTCCTGGCCCAAGGTGATGAGCCAGGCACTGACAGACTGGAAGGCCCACACTCCCGAGGCTGTGTGGGCTGCTGTGGGGAATGCTATTATGTATGGTTAATCCGTCTGCAATGTGGGAGACCCAGGTTTGCTCACTGGGTCGGGAAGATCCCCTGGAGAAGGGAATGGCAACCCACTCCAGTATTCTTGCCTGGAGAATTCCATGGACATAGGAGCCTGGCAGGCTATAATCTATGGGGTCACAAGAGTCAGATATAACTGAGCAACTAACACTTTTACACCTCAAGATTGATAATTGTCCTCCATTATACCCATATACCCGTATATTGTTTTATTAACTCTACAGTTAACATGGTAAAAAAGAGCTAAAATTACAGAGCTCTTCCTGTGGGCTGGGCCCGGTGCAGAGTGGCTCAGAGATGGGCAGTAATTGCCCAGAGTCATATGGAGAGGGAGAGACCAGTGCTCAGAAGGCAGGCGGCTGGATCCTGGACTCCACACCCTTGCCCCAGTGATTAGAACAGCTCATGTCCTGGGCAGTTACTCAGTGCCAGGCGCTGTGCCAACCTATTTACAGACACACTCTCCTTTAATTAAAAAAATGGTAATAAGAACAGCTAACATTTGCATGTCACTCGTGGTGTGTTAGGGGCCCTCCCAGGTGCTTTGCACACACTGGTTCCCGTAACCCCATGATGTGGGCATTGTTAAGAACTACCACCAATCATAGATGAGGTCACTGAAGCAGAAAGGGCAGGCCACGTGTCTGACCGCACAGGTAGCAAGTGGCAGAGCTGGGGTTTGAACTCCCAAAGTCTGGCCTCTGATCACAGTGCTTCACAGCCTCTTTCAGAGCCCTGAGGCTGCCAGGAACCGGACGAAGTGCTCTGTGCCTTCTTCTCACTGACTCATTACCACTATCCTCTGAGATGTGGGCTTTAGTGATTCCCATTTAATGAATGGGAACACTGAGTCAGACAGGGAGCTGAGCCATGAAGCTAGGAGGGCCAGGCAGGTGGGGCAGGCCTCCCTCACCAGTCTTTTCCGCTCGGAGCACTCACCAGCATCTGCCAGCGTGGCATGAAGTCGGCGCTCTGACGGACCCGTTCGAAGATGCGCTGCAGCTGGGGGCTGATGAAGCTGTTGTCTTGGAGGAAAGCGGGGAGAAGGAAGCCAGTGAGAGGGGAGGCCACGAGGGGCCCTGTGGGAGTATCTGAAGCCGGGGCTTGGTGGTAGGTGGGGTGGGGTGAGGGTGAGGTCAGGGGTCAGGAGTCGAGAGTCATCACGCTGCTGTACCCTGGATGCTGAGCATTTGGCCAACCTTGAGGGCGGCCCCCCGAACTGTACACAAGGTCTGCACAATCCTCTCGGCGTTGGCCTCCGACAGGAAAAGGCTGGAGCCTGGCTGGGAGCCTCCCTCTGGGGTGGAGAGAAGCATCGTTAGTACGGCAACCACAAAAAAGATCATTATGACACCACTGCACAGACACCAGAATGGCTAAAAAAAGATGACAATACCAAGTGTTGGCAAAGATGTAGAACACTGGAACGCTGACACTGCTGGTGACTGTGCCACAGCCCAAGTCCTTTGGGAAACAGTTGGGAAGTTTCCACTGAAACATACAACTGTACCCAATTTCCCTCTGAGGTATATCCCCAAGAGAAATGCAAAAATGTGTCCACCAACAGATGCCCCAAGAAGGTTCACAGTAACACTGTTCCTAACAGTCTCAAAATGGAAACAACCCAAAGGACCATCAGTAGAAACAACAAAGGGACTGTGGAAGAGTCACGGGGTGATGAGGACAGTGTTGAATAAACAACCTATGACAGCTCACGGTAACACGGGCGCACCTCTTAAACAGAATGCTGAGAGAAACAGGCCAGACACACGCAAGGATACACTGTCCGATGACACAGGTGCAAGGAGCAAAAACAGACACAACTAATCTCGAGGGTCAGAAGCCAAGACAGTGGGGACCCCTGATGTGGGAAGGACGTGCCAGAATGGGTACAGAAGAGCTTCTGGAGAATCAGCACAGCAATTCTCCAAGTGTGGTCTGGGGGCCCTGAGACCCTCCAGGAGAGTCTGTGAGAACAGAACTTTCATAATTATATCAATACATTATTTGCTCTTTTTTACCCTTATTAGCCTATAAATGTTCAGTGGAGTTTTCTAGAAGTTCTGTGACTTGTGATGCTGTAATTGCTCTGATAACAGATGGAGTGAGTGTGTATATTCTTGTTTACAACATTTTTCAGTTTTTAAATTTCAATTTTTTTTTTTTGGCAAAACTGTGCCAAAATAAAATGGGATCTTCAACCAGGAATTGAACCCAAGCCATTGGTGGTGAAAGCACAGAGTCTTAACCACTGGACTACCAGGGAATCTTCCCAAATTTTTCAGTTTTAATCTCCAGTACAGCACATATAGTAAATATAACCAAAATAAACAAGTTCTTGGGGTTCTCATTCTATTTTGTAATGGTTTTATTGAGATATAATTCACACATGATATAATTTACCCATTTAAAGCACACAGTTCAGTGACTTCTAGTATTTTCAGTTGTGCAACTATCACCATGATCAATTACAGAACATTTTCCTCACCCGCAAAAGGACACCCATACCTATTAGCAGCTGTTGTTTACTCGCTAAGTCGTGTCTGACTCTTTTATGATCCCATGGACCGTAGCCCGCCAGGTTCCTCTGTCTATGGGATTTTCCAGGCAAGAATACTGGAGTGGGGTGCCATTTCCTTCTCCAGGGGGTCTTCCCAGGGATCGAACCCGTGGCTCTTGCATTGGAAGGCAGATTCTTTACCACTGGGCCACCAGGGAAGCCTGTGAGCTGTTACTCCCTCCCATTTCCCTCACCCACCTGCCCTTGAGCCCCTGGAAACCACAAATCTACTTTCTATCTCTGTAGATTTCCCTCCTCTGGACAGTTTAGATAAATGGAATCATAAAATATGTGGCCTTTTGTGTCTGGCTTCTTTCACTTAGGATAGTATTTCAAGATTCAACCACACAATAGCATGGATCAGTCCTTCATTCCTTTTCATGACTGAATAAAATCCCATTGTATGGATATAACACATTTGGTCTATCCATTCTTCAGTGTTTTGTTTTTTTTTTTTCATTCTTCAGTTTTAAAGGTGTAAATGGATCTTAAGATTAAAAAGTTTGAGAACTGCTTGTTTTAGGGTTTTTTGATACGGGTGCACAGATGCGTCCACTTTGTGAAAACGGCCCATGCTGTACAATTAGATGTGTGTGGTTCTATATGCAAATTCTATTATTCAATAAAGTGTTTATTAAGCTTTTACTTATTTCATAACAGTTATTGAGCTCTTTATTGAGGGCTCACCTTGTGCCAGGCAGAATTTTAAGTGTTTCTATGGATTCTTTGGCTGAATCTCTACAATCACTCCAGAAGTAAGAAAAGCCAATGCCTTAAATTTCAAGGTGAGGAAGCCAGAGATTCAGAAAGGTACCTTGCCTGGCTCTAGGTCACACAGCACAGAAGTGGCAAAGCAGGTCGTAAATTCAGTCTGGGCTTACCTTAAAGCCAGACTGTTCCTCCACCTACTCCCAACTTTTTGCTTTGAAAAAGATCCAAACAGACAGAAAGGATGCATTCAATCCTGTGAATACCCACACACCTGATTCAAAGTTTTGACATGCTCCTTCACCTGCTTTAACTGTACCCAGACACTGACCATTATTTTTGCTGACTGATTTGCACTCAACCTGTGCTAAGAATAAGAATAATCCCCTACACAATCACCATGCCAAAATCACATCCAAGAAAATTAACAATGGGACTGCCCTGATGGTCCAGTGGCTAAGATTCCATGCTTCCAATGCAGGGTGCATGGGTTCAATCCCTGGCCAGGGAAGTTCCACAAGCCACGTGACCAAAAAATACAAAATTAATAATAGAGTCAATAAATTTGACATTAAAAAAAAGAAAATTAACACTAATTCTCAAATATCTACTACCCAGTCATATTCTGGTTTTCCCAATTGTCCCCCAAAGTCTTTTATAGTAATTTTTTTCAAACATTCAATCATGGCTCACACATTCCCTTTGTCAATTATTGTCTCTCTAGTCTCTTTTGCATTTAGAATATCCACCCCTGTTTTTGTTTCAAGACATCGACATGCTGGGGAATCATACCCACAAATGCTGATCTCTACACTACCCAGTCCATCTCTATTGGTCGCAGACTCTCAGCAGCTCTCCTATTTTTGTTCTTCCTCTTCTGCTTACAGTTAGGAACTCCACTGTGGATGGCTTACATTTTTCTCTCCCATGACCTGCTTCTACCCATCACCACCCTGACAGCAGCTTCACCTGCTCTGAGCACTCCACCATGACCCAAAGAGGTGGCTGTGTCATCAATGGCTCCATTCTCTGGATGAGGAAACGGAGGCTCAGAGAGGTGAAGCCACTTGCCCCAGGACACACAGCAAAGCCAGGGTGTGGACCCGGGCACATGGCTCACTTACCTGATTGTACACCTCCTCCAGGCAGGGACTTCTTGGCCACCTCAGCCAGTGCTCCCAGCCCCAAGCTCACAGCCAGTCCTGGGGAAGGGAGAGGAAGGCCTGAGTGCTCGCTTACCCTGGGGCGATCTTCTTCCCCATCCCCTCACCACCTCCCTGACCCTCTTTCCTCTCTGTCTCCCTCTATGTACCCCTGTCTCCCATCTCTTTGTAGTCAACTCTCTGCGTCCCTCTGACTCTACATCAGTCTCTTACTCACTGTCTCCCTGCTTGAGGTTCCTGTTCTGTTTTCATCCCTCTCTCCTTGTCTCTGTCTCCCAGGTCAGTGTTTCTCACCCCTGGCTGCACCCAGAGTCATGTGAGGAGCTTTTGTAAATACGATGCCCAGGCCCCACCACTGAGGTTCTGGTTAAACTGGCCTGAGACGAGCCCTTGGCATGTGGGATCTTAGTTTCCCGACCAGGGATCAAACGTAAGTCCCCTGCGTTGGATTCTTAACCACTGGACCACCAGGGAAGTCCCTAGAGCTTTTTTTTTTTTTTTTAAGATTTTTTTGATGTGGATCAGTTTTAAAGTCTTTATTGAATTTGTTAAAATATTGCTCCTGTTTTATGTTTCAGGTTTTTTTTTTGCCACAAGACATGTGGGATCTTAGCTCCTAGACCAGGGATTAAACCCAAACTTTCTGCATTGGAAGGCAAGGTCCTAACCACTGGATTGCTAGGGAAGTCCCTCAGAATTCTTTTTCTTTTGGGCATCCATCCCAGATGATTCCAGCATACAGCCAAGAGTAAGAAGGTCTGGAAACGATCCCCTTCTCCTCCCAAGTCGCTCTGTCTTCGTATGACTCCTGTTTCTCTTCTTCATGCTCACCTCTCCTTTTCTAAGTCAGTTTTTTCTCCATCTCTGCCCTTCCCTCCACCCAATATGTCTGTCTAGGCCTCCTCTCAGTTCCTCCTTTTGATGTTATCTCTCCAGCTCTGATTTCCTCTGCCTCCTCTGTCTCCTTGTCCTCAAAGACATCTTAAGTCACTCGGCCTCTTGTACTCTCACCATTTCCATAAATAATCATAGTTCGCATTTTCTGAGCACTTTCTCCATGTCAAAAACCATTCCCAGTGTCTTTTATGCACTGACTCATTTTGTCCTCACACCCTCATGAGAGAAATACTTCCATTCTACAGAAAAGGAAATCGAGGCTCAGAGAAGTAACTTATCCAGACTCACAAAGTGAGGATGCATAAGAATCACCCCTTTGAACCCCGGGAAGCCTGGTGCCAAAGCTCTAAGCAGTGCATTTGACTCCTTCTTTACACTGTGAATCAGTATCTTTAAAACTTGAACCATGACTCACAGTCAAGAAGACATTTGCATTATAACCAATAGAGACCAGTGATACATGTTTCATGAAACAAGACTTCTCCCTGACTCTACATCTGCAGTCATATTTTCCATTCTTCTTTTAAATGCTGGTTGCAACCTACTAAATTATTTCATGCAGGTTGTGACCTGAAGTCTGAATAATCCTGGTGCAGGACCCGGGGTTTAGTCCTGTTTACCTCCCTTAGCGTCCAATTCCTCTATAGAATGGAAACACTCACTCACTGATTCACTGCAGAGACCACGTGTAGGGGGCCCTGCACATTCCAGGTTCTCAATAAACACAACATTCCTCTCTGTTTCTCTTGGTTTTACAGGCCTTTGCCTTCATTCTCTTTCCATCTCTCCCTCTTCTCTCTCTGATTCACTCTCTCCCTTGCTTCATTCTGTAAATGTCAACTCTTCTGATCTAGGTCACAGTCTCCCACAGTCACACCTACCCCCAAAGTTGGCCAAGCGGCTGATGCGGGAGGCAGGCACCTTGCGTTCTTGAGAACGGTCACTCAGCTGGGAAGTGGGGAGAAGAAGGTCTGAGAGGGAAAATATGGACAGAGCACCCAAGCAGTCCAACCAACCTGCCACCACACCCTTCCCCAAGCTCCGGAGGCCAGCTGCCTTCATGGGGGTGTTTCTGACTGGTACCAATGATACCTGGGGCCGGGGCGTCTTTCTGATCCGGGCCTCCCGGGCCTTGCGAATGTCCTCCTCACCCAGGCCCCTGCCAGGCCCATCTTGATGAAGTTTTTGGGCCCAAGAACCCCTACATGGCCCCTGCAAGAGACGTGAACACTGGTAAGGAGTGGAGGACAAGGTATCTGCATGGCCCTTTTAGACCCCTCCCTGTCCTTTGGCCCCCTGAAGCTGCCTTCAGCCTCTTCCCCTTGGAAACCCCTCCCCAGACTCTTACCCAGCAGCGGGGCCCTGGCCCCAGGGCCCCATAAGGCAGACCAATAGTCCGGCCCAGCTGTCCACAGGTCGCACGCAGTAGGCCCCCCACCTCCTGCCACATTGTCTGGGGGAGAAGAGGAGGGACTATATGGGTAGGAGTTGTAGGACTGATCTCTCCTTTGCCTCACGTTCCTCCGTGTCTACCCCAAGGCTCCCACCCGCCAAAGACTTCCTTCCCTGTTAATAGGCCCCCAGTTACTCCTGGTTCCTTCTCTCATTGCTAAGAACCCATGGCTCTTCCCGCGCCCCTCTCCAAACCACTTTCCCCAGTCCCATCTCCGCCGTTGCTAGGGTCCTCCCCCGTTGCTAGACACCCACAGATCCTCCAGGGCTACCTCTCCACTGCTCTGAGTACCCCCTTCTAGCTAGGCACCGCCTTCCTCTCTGTTGCTAGGCACCCACAATTACTCCAGTCTTCCCCCCACCCCGTTACTGGGCACCTCCCCTGGTTGCTAAGCACCCACTCGCTCGGGGTCAGCTACGCGCTGGGGGCCTCGCGCTTCCGGGAGTCTCCTCACGCCCGCCCCGTCCGGTCAGTTAGCCAATGATGGAGGAGTAGCTCACTGACTGGCACAAAATACGCCCCGCTGTGCGTGACGGGGCGGGGCCTAAAGGTGGTTAGGGGACTACCGGAGCTCACACGTGCCATTTTATGCCTTCCACTCACCTCAAAGAACTTTGTATGCAGCAGACCTTTCAGTTTTCTACACGTCTTTTTTGCAAACTTTCCTCTCCTGTAGAAACTCACTTCTCCGTTGCGTGAACATTTTGGCAACCTCTTATTTGTACTCCCAATAGGTTCAACGCATCTCTCCTTTGAACACATATGTCCCCAGCAAACATTTCCCTTGCACATGGAGCCCTTCCACTTTGCAAGTTCACTCTCTGTTTCAAATAGCCATATCCTGGTACCCAGCCTCCCTTGCACATAAAATCTCCCTTCCTTGCTCACCAACTTCCCGCCTCCCTGCCACCGCCACCACCCCGCCCCCCCGGACTCCCCCCCCCCCCCCCCCCCGCCGCCACCGCCCCATGTGAAAACTCCCTCACATTCAGCCCTTTGCACACCTGGGCCCCCCTGTTCCCCATACACCCTGCTCTCTTGGCTCCCCACCCACCTGCAGGATGGTGTGAGTGGGAGCCCTTTGTTTCCTGTAGGCCTGACATTTCCCAGAACACACTCAGCCAAGATTCCCTGTGTTGACTCAGGAGCCCCGGCATCCCAGAAAACCAGCTCCCAGCCCATCTGGGTGTGTGTGTTGTTGATGGGGGAAGGAGGACAGGCTTCAAGCATGCTCCCCCCACAATAGGCTGACTCACCCCTCTTCTCAGTCTGGAATAGAAGGAGCTGGCTGGGGCATCTCTCCTACCACTTGAAGAAGGGATATGACACCGCACAGAACAGTCTCCCCCGGCAACCGTGTCTATCCCCCTTGGTCAGGAATCTGACCTCCCAGTCTCTGTCCCTGTGCTATTCGACCTCAGGACAGCCTTAGGCTTTTCTGAATTTCAGCTTCCCAGCCTGTATAATGCACTAGGGGGACCCTGCTATGAATTCTCATTGGTCTGTAAAGAGATGACTCATTTTAGAGCCCTGGGTCTGTGCCCAACACCCTTTCCAGGTGATTCAGTTTCAAGACAGAAACCACCCCCTGTACCGTATCAGACACAGGGTCTGACTCAGGAGCTAGGTGGCAGCTCACCCCAAGGGGCAAAATACATAAAAAGCACCTGTGACAATAACTCATCCTACAAAGCTGTGACTGATGGTACCAAGCTGGGTACCACATGCCTCACGTACATGAGATCATATCAGCTAGCCTGGTGACTACAAGCAAAGGCTACAAGCTGGCAGAGCTCTGAGCCTCAGTATCCCCATTTGTAAAGTGGGGTCATGGCATTCCCTCTAGGGTTAGTGAGAGAGAAATGCAGTGAAATAGTGTCTGTAAAGAGCTTGGCACAGAGCCAGTAGAGAACAAGAGCTCTATACATGAGAGAAATTTCTTATAGTAAAACCATTCTTTTCAAAATTTCTGTGAAGTGCTTACCATATGCTTTTCTAGGCTCTGGGGACACAGCAAGAAACAATACAGACAATCTTTGCCTTCTTGGTACTGGTTTCTGGTGAGGGGCACAATAAATAAGTATATGTAATAAATAAATAAATGAGTATATGTAATTAGGTGACACTTGTTAAAGAGAAAAATAAACCTGGGAAGGACAGGGAGAGGAGGGAAGACTGTGCGTTTAAATAGGGTGGTTCAGGGAACTTCTCTGATGGTACAGTGGTTAAGACTCCTCCCTTCCACTGCAGGGGGCACTTGTTCTTTGATCCCTGACTGGGATCTAAGATCCCACGTGCCACTTGGTGCGGACCAAAAATAAATACATAGGGCAGTCAGGAAAGGCCTCATTGAGCAGACGTCATTTGAGTGAAGATCTGATGGAGGTAAGGGAAGGAACTATTGAAATAGCTGAGGGAAGAATGTTTCGGGCAGAAGGAACAACCAGTCCAAAGTCCCTGCGATGGAAGAAAAATAGGAAAGAGGTTAATGGCAGAGTGAAAGGGGTGAAAAGGATAAAATGAGGTCTGGGAGGTAAACAGAGCCAGCTCAGGTATGCTACAAGGAGTCACTCACTAGTCACTCAAGAGTTGGACAGGACTGAGTGACTGAACTGAACTGAAGGTTCAAATCTATACAATTTATATGGATGATCCTTTTTTTTTTTTTTTTTTTTACCTCTTTGCCTGCACAGGATCTTAGTTACAGCACACAAGATCTTCCATCTTCTTTGCATCAGGTGAACTCATTAGTTGTGGCATGTGGGATCTAGTTCCCGGACCAGGGATCAAGCCTGAGTCCCCTAAATTGGGAGTGCAGAGTCTTGGCCACTGGACCACCAGGGAATTCTCAGATGTGTGATCTGGACTCACTGCTTTGCCTTTCTGTGCCTCTATTTCCTTGACGGTGTGATGGGGATGACGATGATCCAACCTTTTAAGATTTTGGGTATATAATGGTAAGTGCAGCTCTTGGGACAAAGCAAGTACACAAATGTGTCATTGTAAATAAATTAAAAATCCCCATAACAACCCTTTTTACAGATGGGGAAACTGAGGCTCAGAAGAGACAAGTCTGTTGGGAAAGGTAATCCTGGAAGTCAGTGTTGGAACCAGGATTTGGTCTTAAGACAATTTCTTTCACTGCTCTGGGCCACAGTTTCCCAGTTGGTAAAAGTAATTGGCTCCTGTGACACTGAACACACCTTTTTCCAAACAATAAAGTAACAGATCCTCATTTTACAGATGAGAAAACTGAGTCTGGGGCTCAGACTGGGGGTTGGGAGCGGAAGTTACTCCCTCAAGGGGACGCGGCTAGGAACTAGCAGAGGCGGGTCTCAACCAACGCAAATGGAATTCCCAAGTTTCTGAAAGTCCTTCCCGGCGCAGCGTGAAGAACGAGCGGACTGCTGGACTCGTCGCAGGGGGTTACAGGGAGACTAAACTAGCCAGTCGAGGGCGTGGCGAGTTTGGACTAATTGCGGGGTGTAGCGAGGGGTCTACTCGCCCGCGATCAGGATACCAGCGCCACAAACACGACCTGTCAGGGACTCTCAGTCCTCCCAGCCAAAGGAGGTGGGAGGACCCAGACAAGGCTCGTCCCTTACGTCACGTCCGGCGAGGCGGGGCTTCGGGGCTTTCCCCGGGATGGAGGAGGGAGTATCGGTTAACCCCTCCGTGGCTGGGCGGGCTGGAGCTCCGAGGGCCGGAACCCACGAATTGGGGCTCCCCAGCCACACCCCTCGTGGGATTTAAAGGGACAGGAGGGGCTGGGCCCGGTCGAAGCCCGAACCTTGCGAACGGGCATGAGGCGCTGCCCGTGCCGGGGAAGCCTGAGCGAGGCGGAGGCCCAGGCGCTGCCGACGGCAGCCCGCATGGGACTGGCGGCGCCGCGAGGGGGGCGGCGGCGGCAGCCAGGGCAGCAACGACCTGGGCCCGGAGCTGGGGGCTCGGTGGGGCGGCCGGAAGGGGGCGGGCCCCGGGCCCGGACCGAGGAGTCCAACCTCCACACCGAGTCCCAGAGCGCCAGCCTCGGGTTTGAGTCGGGGGCCGACGGACGGGCTGAGCCTGAAGCAGCTGGCCTCGGAGCGGAGACGGAGCGGCCCAACCCAACGACGGAGCCAGGCAAGTCCATTCTCCGGACACATCCAGGAGGGAGCAGCCACTGGTCAGAGCTGGAGACAGCCGGTGACTGGACGGAGACCGGGACAGATGGCTTTTGGGCTGATCCACACAGGACTGACCTCCATTCTCAGCCCCATAGGGCTAACCTCTGGGCACAGCCAGGGGTTGACGGGCCCTGGACAGAACTAGAGATACATGGGTCACAGACCCAGCCAGAGAGGGCCAGGCCCAGGGCTGATAACCTCTGCACCCACCAGAACAGGTCAAGCGTCCGGACCCAGCCAGAGGGGGTCCCTCTCTCAACAGAGCCGGGTGTTGACAGCTCTTGGAAAGAACCGTTCACCGAGGGCTCCAGGACGCAAAAAGGTACCGAAGACTCCTGGACGGAGCTTCACGCTGATGGCTCCCAGATACAACAGGACACTGAAGCAGCCTGGAAGCAGCTTGACCCCGGTGGTTTCCCAACACAAGATACCGATGGCTTGTGGTCACAGCCCGGCACTGACGGACCCCAGACAGAGCCTAGGACAAACTGCCTTTTGGGGGAGCCCAACCAAGATGACTCATTAGAGGAACCAGAACACAGGGAGTTGGTGACTCATCTGTACTCTCACCTGGAGGGTAGCCCCCTGACCCCTGTGCCCCGCCTCATTATCACTCCGGAGACCCCTGAGCCTGAGGCTCAGCCAGGGGGCCCTCCCTCCCAGCTTGAGGCGGGCAGTGGGGGCTTCTCCTCTGCCTCCTCTTTCGACGAGTCTGAGGATGACGTGGTGGCTGGGGGCGGAGGTGCCAGCGACCCCGAGGACAGGTCTGGGGTGAGTGGGACCCACCCCGCCCTTGAGCCAGACCCCCACAGGCCCCATAGCCCACCCCCGACTCCCCCACCCCCGCCTTTCCTTTGAGAAGTTCTCTAAAACTCCACCAGCAGTTTTATCTCCAGGCACCTCTTCCATCCACCAACCTCTTCCCTCTGACGGCAGGGTTCCTAGTTCTCCAGGTGCCTTCCTCTTCATTCTCTCCTTTCCCCCGCCTCCAGTCCTGGGGTCTAAAATGGATGGCTGCTGGCCGACTTCATGGCACCCAGGAACCCCTAAAAGTTGTGTGAGTCCTGTGAGTATATACACATGCTTTTGCAGCAAGGGTCTGTGACTTCTGTTGGATCCTCTGGACAGTGTGTGATCCCCCCAGACTTTAAAGAATACTAGTTTAGGGAGACAAAGGGTGCACTTTCTACCCCACTTTGCTTAGTCTGGGGCCCGTAGTTGCCTTAAGGAATCATCAGCCTTCAACACCCCTAAGCTCATTCACTTCTGTAGGCAGCAAGCGCCCAGTATTTTTTTCTTATCATTCTCAAAGGGCTGTGTGAACCCCAAATGCTAAGGGACCCCAGCCAAGGACTCTGCAATCTCCCCACTGCATTGTCCCCAGCTCCCCAGAGTGCTCCTGCAATCTCTTGTTTACATTCTCCATCCTCAAGCTTGGGTGCGGTTCTCTGCTGGTGAATCAGGAGGGCTGGCAGGGCAGGTTCAGGGAGGGAGGGTCAGTGCAGAGGCAGGTATGAGAGCCTCCTATGGGTCAGCCTGCTGGACCCTCCCATTGTCCTGGGGCCCCTGGCTGGAGTCTGCCCTGAGCCCTGCTCACCCCACATGCTTCGTTCTCTGAACGTGCTCACACATGTGGCCGCAGATGTAAGAGACAGACCTGCCCCAGCTTGCCTGCGCTGACCCTCTGGGGCTCTGCTGTTGCTGTTCCCTCTCCCTATTCTCTCACCTCCTTGGCATCTCAGAGCAGCTGAGCTGAAGCGAATGAAGAAAAGAAAAAAAATAACAACTCTCAAAAAAAAAAAAAAAGCAACAGCTCTCACTCGCTCATGCCCAGCCCTGTGCCAAGCTCTTTCACTGATTTATTTATTTTTTGGTTGCAGCTTGCTGCACAAGGGATTTAAGGTCCTCAATCAGAGATCAAACCGGCTCCCCCTGCACTGGGAGTGCAGAGTCCAAACCACTGGTCCGCCAGGGAAGTCTCTGTGCTGAGCTCTTTGCTTGTATCAACACATTTAAACTTCACAGCAGCCCTGTGAGGTAGATACTATTATCCCCATTTTACAGATGAGGAGACTGAAGCACAGAGACTCATCCAAAGTCACAGATCTTGGAAGACACAAATTCCAACTTTTACTGAACGCTAGGCACTTTTTCTCAGTGCTGTATATGTGTTAACTTGTTCAATTTTTATAATGGCGCTGTAAGTTTGGGATTATTATCTCCATTTTACAGAGGGGACACTAAGGCCTAGAGAGGTGAGATCACTTGCTTAGAGTCGTCCTCGTCCGGTCGGAGCCTAGATTCTAACTCAGTTCTGACTGAGTTGAAAACCCAGGCATTTTCACCCCTATAATGTGTGGATCCATTCCTCCTCATCTGCCTTCCTCCGGAGCCTTTCTGCCTTCAGTGTTTCCTCATCCTCTAGAATCTGCCTCCAGGGCCCCGCTGTGACCAACATTTGAAGGTGCCCAGCTCCAGAGTCTTCCATGGCTCCCCAGGGCTTTCCTGATAGCAATCAGGAGTTTGGTCCTGAGTTCAGAGCTTCCTGTCTCCAGGCTCCTTCCTCTGTTCAGCTTCCCTTCTCCCCTCCTGACCCCTTCTGCTGTTGCAATGGAGCCTAGGTATGAGCTGTTCCCCGAACACACTGCTGCCATCCTGCCTCCGATTGTTGCTCAAGCCATTCCCACCGCCCTGAATACCCCTCGCTTCCTGCTCCCTTCGTTTTGAAATCCCATCTGACCTTAAAGACCCAGCTACTTTCTTCCTTTCCTCCCCGCTTCCTTCCTTCTCACGTGCATCCTCCTAATCAGGCAACAGACAGTCCCCAAGTCCCTGCTATGTATTTGGCTCCATGTTGGTTTTGCCGGGAACACAGCAGTGACCCAGATGCTGCCTGCATGGAGCTCCCAGGTCACTGGGAGGAGACAGACCCATCACCAGGTAGTGATAGCTCGGAGGGGTCAGGGCTGGGATGGGGGAGCCCACAGGGTTGTGGGAGTCCAGAGAAGGTGACTGGCCAGACCTAGGGTATCAGAGAGGGCTTCCTGGAGGTGGGGAGGGGGGCATGTGAGCTGAGGGCATGATATCTGAGACAGCCCAGATTAACCATCAGATCTAAGAAAAAAAGAGAGATAAAGAAGATACTGCTTCCCATACTGCTTATGATTAAAGGAAAGAGAAACATACTTTCAATCAACTTCCTTCAACCCAAACTGTATTTTTGGAGTACTTATTCTGTGTCAGGCCATGACTGAGGACATGCTTGTAACCATGGTAACCTCAGTTCTGCCCTCAATCAAGCCTTGTAATCTGGCAGGGCTGTAGTGGATAAGCCCAGGGCAGTGAAGGCAGACCAGAAGTAGAACCCCCAACACTACACTGTGTGATTTAGGCAGGTGACTTCACCCCTCTGGGTCTGTTTCTGCCCATGTAATACAGTCAACAGTTCTCCTGGGGTGGTGTTTTTAGGATTAGGTGGGTTATGCCACGCTGAGCCTTTGTCATTGTGCCTGGAATGTTCCAGGTGCTTAGTAAACAGGAACCTTCATTCATCACCTCCTCTCCATGGCTGGCAGCTGGAGAAGGGAGGGAAGAGCCCTTCCTGAGTCCTGCAGTCCCACTCCCTGGTCTGTGTTTGACCTTCCCGCCATCCATTAGATGTCTGCTAGGTAACGGGGCTTCAGGGTATAGGAGATAACATGGCTTTGACTCTCAGGTGGAGGGAGATGAGCCACGTAGGTTTTTTTCTCTGAACACAACTCGTTTTCCCAATCCTTGCTAAGAGTTTGGTATGTGTTTGGAGCAGAGAAGGTATTTGTGTGTGTGTGCGCGCGCCTATGTGTAGAGCTTCCCAGGTGGCACTAGTGGTAAAGAACCCACCTGCCAATGCAGGAGACATAAGAGATTCGGGTGCAGTTCCTGGGTCAGGAAGATACCCTGGAGGGCATGGCAACCCACTCCAGTATTGTTGCCTGGGAAATCTCATGGACAGAGAAGCCTGGTGGGCTACAGTCCACAGGGTCACACAGAGTCGGACAGGACTGAAGCGACTTAGTATGCATGTGCTCACGCACACGCACACGTGCGCGCGTGTGTGTGTATATGCACATGGGCGTGTGTGTGCATATGCAGTGAACTCAGGCACTAACCAGTTCTCAAGATGCTCTTGGTTGAGTCAATAGGATACAACTAAATCCTTGTTTTCTGTTTGCTTCTCTTTTATTTGCTGTGACCACTTTTTCTCTGCATCTATGTTTCATTTTCTTTCTCTGTCATCGCTGTGTCTCCCATTCTGTTTCTGTTTCTTTCTCTTCTAGTAACTCTGTGTCAGTGGGAGGAGGTCAGGACTGCTGTAGTACAAACAGCACCCAAACATAGTGACTTGGAGCAACAAAGGATTTTGCTGTTTTGGCTGTGTTGCTTGTGAGATCTTAGTTCCCTGACCAGGGATTGAACACGGGCCCTCAGCAGTGATGGGTGAGGTGAGGGGCCCCTGCTCCATGCTGTCTTCACTCAGCTTCTGTTTCTCTTCCCACAGTGCCCACCCCCCCTTCCTTCTTTAATAGGAAAAAGAACATGGAGTCAGTCAGTGGCTTTAAGACTCCACCTAAAAGTGACACTTGCAGTCACATTTCATTGGCCAAAGCTCAGTTCACGAGGGCAGGGGTACTCCTGGCGGGGAGACAGGCCTGAGGCCTTTGGTGGGCAGCTGTTGGGGCTGCCACAGTCTCTGTCTCTGTCCCTGTCATCACTGTCCCCTGTCTCTATTTCTCTCTCTGTTGTTCGGCTTCTGTCCATCAGCTCCTTTATCATTTTCCCTGAAAGATCTGCCTTCATTCAGGAACAGCAGGCTTCCCCATTTTTGGTGTGTGTGTGTCGTGGAAAGATCTGGGGGGGTTGCTGGTGACTACAATAAAACCTAGCCTATCTTTACTCCTTTGAGAAGGACAGAGAGACACAGATAGAAAGTGATCCCACTGAGGGACTTCCCTGGTGGTCCAGTGGTTAAGACTCTGTGCTCCCAATATAGGGTTCGATCCCTGACTGGGGGAGATCCCTTATGCTGTGCAGCCAAAAAAAAAAAAAAAAAGTGATGACACTGAGATAAATGGCAAGGGACTCTTCTCCTTTGCTGAGGCTTTGGGGGTGCTCATGATTACTAAAGTAAGTGAGCTTTGCTCACCCCAATGAGCTTAAGCCCAGTGATCCCAGGAAGACCCCCTGGCCCTTGGAAAGACCCCAGGCTGCCCCTTGGTTCCCTCTCAGGGCACTCGCCTCATCCCCCTCCCTACCTGGCCTCAGCCCTGACCCCACCCTCTCTGTCCTACACAGAACAAGCCGTGGAAGAAGCTGAAGACGGTTCTGAAGTATTCGCCCTTTGTGGTCTCCTTCCGAAAACACTACCCTTGGGTCCAGCTGTCTGGACACTCTGGTGAGAGCGGGTGGGGAGAAGGGTGACTGGGGGTAGGCCGGGCTGGGCAGAGAAGCCTGGGCGGGGAAGGAACCGTTCTTTGTACTTTAGGTCCCCCATCTGTAAAATGGGCTCAGTGACAGATTCCAGTTCCTGGAACTGTTGTGGCATGTGCTTAGGCCTGGGCCAGGCCATTCATCCCTCAGGATGGAGGGCTGTTTCCTGTTAGCCTGGTGTCAGGGTGGTGGGGGGCAAATCTTTGACCACGGAGACAGAGGGGCCTGAGCTCGAATCCGAGTTCTGCTCTTTATTTGTGGATGGCTCTGGGCAAGTTACTTTCCCTCACTGAGGCCCTAGCCCTCCTAAATGGCAGTTCCCAGTCCCTGTCCCCATCCTGTGTCTGGAGCAGAGTAGGCCCCCAGGAAACAACAGCTATGGGGCTTCCCTGTTGGCTCAGTGGTAAAGAACCCGCCTGCTGATGCAAAAGATGGGGGTTCGATTCCTGGGTGGGGAAGATCCTCTGGAGAAGGAAATAGCAAGCCACTTGTATTCTTGCCTGGGAAATCCCATGGACAGAGGAGCCTGGCGGGCTACAGTCCATGGGGTTGAAAAGAGTTGGACTCAGTTTAGCAGCTAAACAACAATAAACAACAGCTTTAATGTTCCCCCCCCCCCCCCGCCCCCCCCAGGACCTAGTCTTAAGACCAGTGTCTTAAGCACATAGTAGCACGAGGCCAAGCATCTAGCATTTTTGGTAAAGGGCTAGATAATAAATACAAAGTACTCAGCTCTGTTGTTGCAACACATAAGCAGATATAGATAATGTGTTCCAATAAAGCTTTTTTGTTTTCTTCTTTTTACAAAAATAGGCAGTGGGCTGGACTAGACAAATTGTTCCCATCAACAAAGGGAAGGGAACTTATCTTCCAGTTCATCCTCAGATCTGAGTCAGAGAAAGGCAAAATCTCCACCCCCCCTCACCCCCTGCCCCCGCCCCCCCCCTTGCTGCCCCACAAAACTGTCAACACAGGCCTGCCTGCCATCTGTATGTATCCTAGTTACTATTGCTGAGTTTAAAAAAAACTGAAAACAGAAAATTCAAAACTTAGTGGTTAAAAAAAAAAAAAACGTAGTGGAATAAAACAACCATATTATTACACTCATAAGTTTTGGGTGATACCTGGGAATTCAGACAGAGCATAGCAGGGATGACTTACTGCTGCGCCATGATACCTGGGAACTCAGCTAGGACAATGGAAGGCTGCAGGCTGGAAACCTTTGGAGATTCATTCATTCACACACCAGGCAGTTGATGCTGGCTCTTGGCTGGTTCTCCACTGGGGCTGCCAGCTGGAAAGCCCATATGTGACTTCTCTGTGTGGCTGCTTGGGCTTCCTCACAGTATAGTGGCCTCAGCAGTCAGATTTCTTACTTGGTAGCTCAGGACTGAAAGGCAAGGGTCTGTGACAACAAAGTGGAGGCTGCGTCTCAGACTCTGAAGTCATAGTGTTGCTTCTGCCATAAGAAGCAAGATTCTGTCAAAATCAAGGGGAAAAGAATTAAAGAATTAGATTCTACTTCTTGATTGGAGTGGCAAAATTCTAGACGAGCATGTGTACATGAGCTACTCTTTACTTATCATATATATATGATGAAAACAAAACAAATGCCCCAGGAGAAGGGTTCGTGATTACTGTTACAGACATTTTGGAAAATATAATCTGAAAATACTATCTGCCTCAGTAAAAATTTGTCATTCTAATCTACACTATCTGCATGGCCCAGGAAATGCCAGATTTGTGAATTAACCAGGTCCATTTGTTAGCACTCTGGGACTCCAAGGTGAAACAAATTCACATGTGCTCTGGAGAGTCATGCGCTTGACTCAGCTCTCACAAAAGTTCTCACAGTTGATCGTGAGCTCATAATCCAAAATTACAAAACAAATGAGGACATAGTGTGCTGGGAACCCGACTCTGTTTAAACAAAAATGCAGAACTAGGCCCTTCCTTCACCAACTCTGGCCAAGATTTTTTTTTAATTGAGGGATAATTGCTTTACAGTATTTTGTGGTTTTCTGTCATACATCAACAAGAGTCAGCCATACGTACACCCATGTCCCCTCCCTCCCAAAACTCTCTCCTATCTCCCTCCCCATTGCACCTTTTAGATTGTCACAGAGCACCTGTTTGAGTTCCCTGAGTGCTACAGCAGATTCCCACTGGCTCCCTATTTTACATATGGTATTGTAAGTTTCCATGTTACTCTGTGGATACATCTCACCCTCTCCCCTCCCCCCATGTTTATAGGTCCGTTCTCTATGTCTGTTTCTCCGTTGCCTCCCTGAAAAATAAATCCATCTTTTTAGATTCCATATATATGCATCCGTATACAATATTTATATTTCTCTTTCTGACTTACTTCAATATAATAGGCTCTAGGTTCATCCACCTAATTAGAACTGATTCAAATACATTCCCCTGGCCAAGATTTTGAGAGCTGCAGGGAGGGAGATAAAGTATTGCAGACGGGTCAGGCACGATGATGGTGGCCAGGATCTGAGACACACGGGGAGGTGGCTCATTCAGTTTCTGACCCTCTTGTTGATGGCTGCTCATAGGGAACTTTCAGGCAGGGGAAGATGGTTGGATTCTGAAGCGTTTCTGTCAGTATGAGCAGCACAGCCTGGAGCAGCTGATGCATGACCCCCTGCGGCCTTTTGTGCCAGCCTACTATGGCATGGTGCATCGGGATGGCCAGACCTTCAATCAGATGGAAGATCTCCTGGCAGACTTTGAGAACCCCTCCATCATGGACTGCAAGATGGGCAGCAGGTAGGTTCAGGGGCAGCCATGGGGCAGAAGTGAAGGGTTGGGTGGATGTTTTTGAAGATAGCACCAAACTGATCTTCTTTTTCTTTTTAAACAATACTTAATTATTTATTTCGCCATACCTAGTCCAACTTGTGGCATGTGGGATTTAGTTCCTTAACCAGGGATCAAACTGGGCCCCCAGTACTGGGAGCACAGAGTCTTAGCCACTGGACCACCAGGGAAGTCTTAAGCCAATCTTCAAAGTGGTTGTATTAGCATCCTTTCCCGCCAGCAGTGTATGAGAATTCCAGTTGTTCTGTCTTGTCATCAATGCTTTATATTACCTGTTTTACTACTTTTAGCTATCTTGGTGGATATCTCTTTATTTTTTTAATTTCTGTTTCTCTGATGACCAAAGAAGTTAAGCATTGATTAGCCATTTGGATATCCTCTTTTGAAAAATGCCCATTTTACTATTTCGTTTTGCCCATTTTTTGACCAGGCTCTCTTCTTGTTATAAAGATTTGTAATTCTTTATATATTCTGGATACAGGTCCTTTGCTGGAGATACACACACACACACAAACACACACACACACACACACACACACACACACACACACACACACCATTCTCTCTCTCTCCAGCTCTCCCATTTTACTCTCTTAATGTCTTTTGATAAACAGAAGTACTTTTAATGTAGTACAGTTTATCAATTTATTTCATTATGGTTAGTAGCTTTTAAAGAAATCTGCCTACTTTAAGATCACGATGATCTCCTGTGTTTTCTTCTATAAGCTTTGTTTTTAAAAAAAAAAATTTATTTATTTTTGACTGTGCTGGGTCTTTGTTGCCGTGGGGGCTTTTCTCTAGTTGCAGCGAGTAGGGGCTGCTCTCTAGTTGTGGTGCACAGGCTTTTCATTGCAGTGGCTTCTCTTTGTTGCAGAGCACGGGCTCTAGGGTGTGCAGGCTCAGTAGTAGTTGTGGTTCCTGGGCTCTAGAGCACAGGTTCAATAGTTGTGGCATATGGGCTTAGTTGCTCTGTGGCATGTGGGATCTTCCTGGACCAGGGGTCAAACCTGTATCTCCTGCTCTGGCAGGCAGATTCTTTACTACTGAGGTACCAGGGAAGCCCCTACAAGCTTTGTTTTAACTTTCACATTTAGATCCGCAATCCATCTAGATGTAAGTTTTATATATGGTGTGAGGCAGGGATCGAGGTTCATTTTCCCTTTCCATATGGATATCCTGTTGACCCAGTATCATTGATTGAAAAGACTAGTCTTTCCCCACTGAATTGCAGTGCCTTCCGTGTCATAAATCGGGTGAATGTACTTGTGTGTCTGTTTGTGGACTCTGTTCCAGTCCATTGATCTATTTGTCTATTGTTGTGTCACACTGTAGTTTTATAACACTCCTTGATATCAGGGAGTAAAAGTCCTCCAGTTTTGTTCTTCACAGTTTCCCTTGTTACATCCTTTGTGTCCCAGGACCTACCTGGAGGAGGAGCTGGTGAAGGCGCGAGAACGGCCCCGGCCCCGGAAGGACATGTATGAGAAGATGGTGGCTGTGGACCCCGGGGCCCCCACCCCCGAGGAGCATGCCCAGTGTGCGGTCACCAAGCCCCGCTACATGCAGTGGAGGGAGACCGTGAGCTCGACGTCCACCCTGGGCTTCCGGATCGAGGGCATCAAGGTGAGGCCCAGGAGCTGCTGGCCTGTTTCCGGAGGGCTGAGAGCTAGGTCTGAGACAGAGTGACAGAAAAACCAACCAACTAGGATGTCAGAAGAAAACTGGAAAGATGCCCGATTTGGAGAGCGAGCAGGAGACTGCAGAGGATGGAAAAACAGGCCGGGAGAGGTCCGCTTCTCTGTTCCTGCCATGTCTGTCACAGACCAAGTTTTGTTTATCTACCTGCCTGAAAATCTCTTGATTCCATCTTCTTTCCCCCTCCCCGAGGCCCTGTCCGAGTCCAGCCCCATCTTCTCGTACCCCAGCCCCTCTGGGCTCCCGGATGCTGAACTCACCCACTCTGATCCATCATCTGACATAGCAGCTGGATGGGCTTTTTTCTCCTTATGCAGAAAAGTTTTCTCTTTCTTCTTCTTTTTTTGTAAATTAAATCTATAGCTATCCACCACAGTTTGAAAGTCAAAATAATGTAAAAGAAATCTCTCTCCCAACCCTGTTGCTCTCCTTCCTGTTCTGTGCCCGCCCCCCGCCCCCAACCCCACACCTGCTCATGGGGAACCACTTGATCAGTTTCTTATATTTCTTCCTGTATATACAAACAAATGCAGCTGTGTATCCTACATTTTCCTCCCTTTCTTAAAAGATGGCATGGTCCTGGAGAGTTTTCCTATCATTGCAGAGAGAGATAGATTTTCCTCTCTCCCTCCTTCCTTCCTTTTTTCCCCCGCTGTATTAGCTCTCTGTGGGTGTGCCACAAGCCCCTATAGATGGCACAGTGAAGTACTTTCATTTCTTTGAAAGGGTCCTCCTGTCTCCTGCCACAGGCCCTCTGCACTTGCTGTTTCCTGTGCCAGGGCTACTCTTCCCCTTTCCCCTGGTTGACTGACTCTCAGTTACTTTCCAATCTCCTTCCAAATTCCACTTCTTCTGGAAAGCCCTCCTTGATTTCTGTCCTACTAGTTCAGGGCCTCTCTTTACCTCCTTAAAACTTCCTATACTCCCTTATCTTATCTCCCTTTATGATGAACTTATTCAGTGTCTGCCTCCCTTATCTGATTATACCTGTGCTGTTACCTCTATGTTACCATTGCCCACAGGGCACCTGGCTGGCATAGCCTGGTAGGATGACTCAGGGGGCCCTTTGTACCTCTCTCAGAAGTAACAAATAACATTATTCTCCTTTATTTTATTGCTTCTCTGCCTTTTGACTAAGATCAAGTGTAGCATGAGAGCTTCTCAGATGGCCCAGTGGTAAAGAATCCACTTGCCAATGCAGGAGATGCAAGACACGCAGGTTCGATCCCTGGGTAGGGAAGATCCCCTAGAGTTGTTGAGTCGCTAAGTCGTGTCTGACTCTTTGTGACCCCATGGACTGCAGCACTCTAGGCTTCCTTCTCCTTCGCCATTTTCCAGAGCTTGCTTAAACTCACATCCATTGAGTTGGTGATGCCATCCAACCATCTCATCCTCTGTCACCCCCTTCTTCTCCTGCCCTCAGTCTTTACCAGCATCAGGGTCTTTTCCAATGAGTTGGCTCCTCACTTTAGGTGGCCACAGTATTGGAGCTTCAGCTTCAGTATCAGTCCTTCCTAACGAATATTCAGGGTTGATTTCCTTTAGGATTGACTAGTTTGAGCTCCTTGAAGTCCAAGGGACTCTCAAGAGTCTTCTCTAGCACCACAGTTTGAAAGCATCTCCAATATTCTTGCCTGAAAATTTCCATGAACAGAGGAGCCTGACGGGCTACAGTCCATGGGGTCACAAAGAGGCAGACACGACTCAGTGACTGAGCACTTTATTGAGTGGTGCCCAGCACTGTGCTATGGATCCTACACACTCAGGCTCTCCTAATCCTTATACCAGCTTTAGGAGGTGGATATTAACACAATCCCATTTTCCAGATGAGGAAATCAAGGTTGAGGCAGGTGAAATGACTTGCTCAAGACCACTGAGAGAGTATCAGAGCCATGATTCAAAGCCACATCCAAGCCTCTCCAAAGCCCACTTGGCTAGAGCAGTTCAACCAGGGGGTTCAAGGTCAGAGCCGAAGGACTGGTTGCTCAGGAGTCTGACCAGGTGGGCTGGCTTCTCCTGAACAGCAAGCCAGCCTGGAGGCAGGTAGTTGCCCCCCAGAGGTGTCTGAGGCTGCTTGGTGTTGGGTGTGGGAAGGAAAACCCATGACACCCTTCGTCTTGCAGAAAGCCGATGGGACCTGCAACACTAACTTCAAGAAGACGCAGAAGCTGGAACAGGTGACAAAGGTGTTGGAGGATTTTGTGGATGGAAACCACACAATCCTGGTGAGCAGGACACCCATGCCCCCATATTTAGAAGCGTAGGACTGCCACATCCTTGTTCCTCCCATGTTAACCATCTTTTGCTTCGGCTGACACCGCGCTGGCATTGTTCACTATCTTGTCAGGGTTGGCAGGGCCAGGAGCACCCTGCTGTCATGTCTGGTGGCTGCCTCAGTCTCAGCTCCAGGCTTGATTGCCCGGCAGGCTGGCCTGGGCTTGTTCTCACAGTAGAAGCAGCAGGACAAGAGAGCAAGTGAAAAAGCAAGGTCTCTCAATGACTGGGCTGAGAATGGCCACCTTCATACCTGCAAGGTTCTATTGATCATAGAAACTCATATGACCAAGCCTAGATTATAAAGGAAAGAGTCTGCCTCTTGATAGGAAAAGCTGCTAGGAATTATGGGCATTCATATAATCTACCAGCTACACTCTTGTCTGTGCCACCCTGATGCCTCCAATCCTGCCCCCCCCTCCCATTTCCCCATGGCTCCTCTCATCCCATCCTGCCTGGGGTCTAACCACTCCTTTGGGGGAATGAGATGGAGTCAGATCTCAAGGTGGGTAAGGACCCACAAAGTCCATGAACTAACAAGAAATCTTCCCTTTCACCCACAGAGAAAGTACGTGGCACGCCTAGAAGAACTTCGTGAAGCTCTGGAGAGCTCCCCCTTCTTCAGGACCCACGAGGTGCGAACCCCAGCTGCCATGGGAACAGAGGGCCCTGTGTGTGTAGGGTATCTGGGTCCAGGTGGCCTCAGGAGAAACCGCTGACAGGGTCACCTGCCAAAGCTATAAAAGGAGACCCTGAGGGAATTCCCTGGCGGTCTGGTGGTAAGGACTCTCACTGCTGAGGGCCTGGGTTCAATCCCCAGCTGGGGAACTAAGATCCCACAAGACTTGTGGCACATCCCAAACAAAAAACCAAGAGGCCCCTCCCCCAGGTTTGGGGGGTTTGCTTCTTTAGGGTAAGCAGCATTAGGAATTTCAGGGAGGGGGACAGTTAGGAGCATGGACTGCAGGCAGCTGGCCTGGGATGAAGGCTGGCCTGGCCATGTGACCCTGGGCATGTGACCTGCCCTTCTTGGGCCTTGGTTTCCTCCTGATACAGGAAGGGAAAATAGTACCTTCCTTATGGAGCTGCTGAGATGGACCTGAGCGAATACAGAGTGCTGTTCAGAGTGCAGAAAAGTTCCCAGCTCTTGTGATGATTTGTAGCCATAATTATTATTTAACATAATTTTTCTTTATTTTTGGCTGCATCAGGTCTTAGCTGTGGCACGTGAGATCTTCGTTCTGGTGCTCAGGCTCAGGGATGGTGGTGCTCAGGCTTAGTTGCTCTGGGGCATGTGGAATCTTAGTTCCCCAACTGCGGATTGAACCTAAATTCCCTGCATTGGAAGGCAGATTCTTTTCTCATTGAAGAAAATAATTTTATTTATTTTTGTATCTTTGGCTGCACTGGGACTCTAGCTGCGGAGAGCAGGGGCTACTCTCTAGTTGTGGTGCAAGGGCTTCTCACTGCAGTGGCCTCTCTTGTTGTGGAGCGTGGGCTCTGGGGCATGTGGGCTCAGTCACTAAGTTCTGGGCTCTAGTGCACAGGCTTAATCGTTGCGCATGCATGGGCTTAGCTGCTTCACTGCATGTGGGATCTGGAATGCAGATTCTTAACCACTGCATTGCCAGGGAAGTCTCCATGATTACTTACAGTTATTGTTCCCTGCATTCCTCCTTTGGCAGCTCTCCCCCTCCCTTTCCCCTCCCTTTCCCAGCCTGTGTCTCTTTGGAAACTGTCACCTCTCTGGGGCTGTCTCAGGAAGTCTGTGGTGATGTCACCAGGTGTATCTCCACGATCTTCCATCTCTCTCTTCCAAGTCCCTCTCTCCTCTTTCTCCTGTTATCACTGACAGCTGAAAGAGCCACATTTGGGAGTCGGGCGGGCCCGTGTTTGAACCCCAGCTGCCTGGGCAGTGGCTCTGCAGGCCTGTCTCCTGACCCGTAGGACAGGGTACCAGTAGCACCTGCCTCCTGGGTGTTGTGAAGTTTAAGTGGATTAACTTAGGTAAAGCCCAGCCCACAGGAAACCCTCAGTGTGTGCCAGTTTTTACTGTCACATTTGTCATCAGTGACCATCACCCTCATCATCGTCACTGCCTTTGAGCTTCACATGCGAGGCACAAAGAGGAGGCTTGGGCACTTTGTCTCTTCTATCCTTGTGTTTGGTTTCACTTGACTGGTGACTAGAATCTGAAAAAAAAACGAGTTGCCAAGATTTAAAATCTGAGACTTCACACCAAAACCGGGATTTCTAGTTTCCTTTGGACCACAGGAGACGTGGCAGTCCTGGGCCCCTCCCTATATGCCAACAGCCGTCCACACCTGGGCGGCGTCGCCTCTCCTGACAGCCACCTGCTCAGCTGCCCCATCATCTGGGTTCTCTGGAAGAACTGATGTTTGAAACCCAACTAGAACAAGGGAGGGGCTTGCAAACCTGGCTAGACAAGAGGAAGGAATGTGTGCTAATTAAAAAGAAAAAATTGTTTTATATTTTTGGCTGTGCTGGGTCTTCACAGCTGCTGCTTGAGCTTTCTCTAGTTGCAGAAAGCGGGGGCTACCTTCGTTGCGGTGTGCAGGCTTCTCATTGCAGTGGCTTCTCTTGTTGCAGAGCACAGGCTATAGGGCACGTGTGCTTCAGTAGTTGTGGTTCCCGGGCTCTAGTGCACAGGATCATTAGTTGCGGCGCACCGGCTTAGCTGGTCCACAGCATGTGAGATCTTCCTGGACCAGGGATCAAACCCATGTCTCCTGCATTGGCAGGCAGATTCTTTACCACTTAGTCTCCAGGGAAGCCCTGTATTTCTAATTTAAAGAAGAAAAAAACAGCCCAATATCTCCCTAGGGTGGTGTGCCCAGCTCCACAAGGCAGTTTGTGAGCTGTGGAACATGGAATGTTGCAAAGATCCCAGGAGGGAGGGGCTCTTACCATCATCCCCATTCTATAGATGAGGAAACAGCCTGGAAAAAAGGAAGCCCCTTGCCTTGGGTCACCAGTAGCAATTCCCTGGGGCTCAGCAGCTGCTGCCTCTTACCGTGAGGAGGCATTATCCACACCCTCAGTCCCCACCAGGCTCCTTTGACCCATTTAGGATCCTGCAGGCATTGGATTTTGTACCCCAGTTTGAAAAGGGGTAACAGCTAACACTGTTTTGCATTAATTTTTTTTATTTTAGCTGTGTCAGGTCTCAGTTACAGCTCTCGGGCTTCTCTAGTCATTGACTTCTTTCTAGTTGCAGTGCACAGGCTTAGGAGTTGCGGCACTGGGGCTTAGTTGTCCGAGCCCTTGTCCCTTGCATTGCAATGCAGATTCTTAACCACTGGACCACCAGGGAAATCCCTATTTTGCATTTGTTTATACAGGCCAGTCTTCTAAGAGCTTTATGTGGATTACTTCCTATATATAATATGCATAGCAGTCTTCGATGTAAATGGTACTTTTTCCATTATTCCCTCTTTGTATGTGATGACATAGAGATAAGGAGAGTTAAAAGTCCCCTGCCCAACTGTGGCAAAAAAAAAAAAAGAAAAGAAAAGTCCCCTGCCCAGAGCCCTGCAGCCTGTAAGTGGCAGAGCTGGGGCTTGAACCCAGGCAGCCTGGCTCCAAAGTCCATGCTATCAGCCACCCTCTCAGCTGTCTGCTGGGGCAGGGACCTTGGCCGTGCCTGCCCCTCCCTTTAACCTCATCTCTCCCTCTGCAGGTGGTAGGCAGTTCCCTCCTCTTTGTTCACGACCACACCGGCCTGGCCAAGGTCTGGATGATCGACTTTGGCAAGACTGTGGCCCTGCCTGACCACCAGACGCTCAGCCATCGGCTGCCCTGGGCTGAGGGCAACCGTGAGGATGGCTACCTCTGGGGCCTGGACAACATGATCTGCCTCCTCCAGGGCCTGGCCCGAAGTTGACCTGCTCCTCCATAACCAGGTTCATTTACTGGATGGTGCCCATCTGACTGGAGGGGCCCCGAAATGCGAGGGGGCCTGAGGTCAGCCACAGGGGAGCTGAAGTCCAGGGATGGGAGAGGTTGCATCGCACACCACACAAGACCAGAGTGGAAGATCCGAAGGGCCTTGGAGATGGGGGTGGGGCCCGCCCCACCCTTTGACAAGATGGGAGGTTATTAAGAACCGGAGAGGCAGTGTGACCTGGCTGGGGTCTGCAGTTGAGTCAGAACCAGACTGGGCCCCTGACCAGCCAGGAGGGAATGCAGAGGCTGCAGCTAAACCACGCGCCCTGAAAGAACACAGTGCACATGATTGCACAGTACAGGCGTGACCTCGGGCCTGTCACCACATGAGTGACTGTAACCACAGCCCCTCCCTCTGCGGGCTGGCTGCTGGTGGGCCCGGAGAACCAGACCTCATTAGTGAAAAAACGCAGCAGCTCTCCTCCCACCCAGCAGAGTTACAGCCCCCACTCTTCATCTGGGGGCTGCCAAGGCTGGCAGAGGCTCTGAGGGTGTGGTGCTGGGGGTCGGGCCTGAGAGCTGACACTGCTGGGCAGGGCTTGGTTCACCCTGTCCTACCTGCCCTTGGCCACGAGTTCCTCCCTTGCTCCTGGGAGAACTGCTGACCCCCTGCCGACTGAAACCACAGCCACATCCCGTGCCGCCACCGTGACAGCACCACCTCGATCCTCAGGCACCAGCCTCAGCCTGGGGACTTCCTCCTTCTGCCCTCTGCCCTCTTCTGTCTCCTTCCTCCAAGCGGGCTGCGGTCACAGGAAGGGCTTTCAGACGCCAGGCAGACTTGGGCCTGGCTTGGGACCCAGCCACTTTTCCTCAGGAGTGCCCCCTCTCCGGCCACTGCTGAGAAGATGCTCTGCTTGGCTGGGCCTGAGGTGCAGGGTGGGTGGGGCTGGCAACTTGGTCCAAACCAAAAGACCCCAGCACCCTGAAGTGTGGGTGGAGCCCCTCCCCTTCCCCCCTTAGCCAAAGCTCTGGCGTGGTCTTCCAGGCTGAGGGTTGCTCCTTTTCTACTGACCATCTTTATACTTATTTATACGAGAGAGGCAGTTGTTAGATGGGGCCGCACTAGGGATCAGGAGGCAACATCGCTTCACTGCCTTCCCCGTGACAACACCCCAATAAACACATTCGTAGTCCACTTCGTGGAGTCTTTCTTTTGTGGAGTCTTTTTTTTTTTTTTTTTAATCTGGAGCTTATGGGCTCAAAGCTCATAATTTGAGCGTCAGCACTGCACGGGGTGAGGGGATAATGACAGGTCTCAGGTAGAAGTGGGCTCAGAGCTGGTGATTCATTCATCAGCTTCACTGAGTCGCTACTCCTGTGCCTGGCTCTGTGCAGGGGACAAGGGTGACCGAGACAGCTTGGTTCAAGGGCTCCCAGGATGGTGCACCAGACACTGCCAACCTGGGTGTCAGGGTGGGATGGGTAAGAAACACTCCACTGTACAGTGTCTAATAAAACCCTCTCGGGCACTGGGGACACAGCATGGAGCGAGACAGACCTGTTCCTCCCCTTTCTCAGTGGAGGCAGCAGGCAGTCATTGAATGGTAATCTCTCTGTCCCTGCCACTGGCCAGCCGTGACCTCAGGCCAGTGACAGCACTTCTCCAGCCTGTTTTTCCCTCAAACTGGCAGAACCTAGTACCCTCCTTACATGAGTTAACGGGGTTGTGAAGGGGTTGGCACAAATAACTAGCAGTGGGAGCTTTTGCTTTTTAAATCAGGAGAGAACACAGGTGGGAGAGGTGCTGAGCCTGAGGGCCTCTTCCCTGAGGAAATGATAAGCAGCCAGGACTGAGGAGTTCAGGAGTTGTACCGGAGGACGGGGAGAAGGGACCGGACACCACAGGCACCTGAGACCACAGGCAGTGGTGGCAGAAAGTGTGAGAAGGAAGAGCCTGGGGTGAGTTTAGTATCCAGGAGGATGCTGCATGAGGAGCATACAAGAGGTGCTGGAAGCTTTTCTGGAAGGCAGTGGTGAAACGTGGTTTGTGTTTGGATTTTGTTTCTGGCCACACCATGTGGCATGCAGGATCTTCGTTCCCAACCAGGGATCAGAACCTGTGCCCCCTGCAATGGAAGCACGGAGTCTTGACCACTGGATCACCAGGAAGTCCATGGTTTGTGTTTTAAAAGGCTTCCCCTGCTCGACGTGAAGACACTGGGAGGCAGCAAGGGGTGCAGGGAGAGGGTGGTTGGCATCCAGAAATGGGTGGGTGCAGCACTGATGGTGGGGGGTGGACAAGTCCTGGGGTCTCAGCAGTTGTCAGTCTCTCCCCTGCAGAGAGGCAGCCGGTCTGTGTGGCTCCTGGCTATAAACCCAGCCCAGAGTAGGTGCTCAATACTGGCAGGTGGGCTTGGGGGAGTTGGGGGTGATGCCCAGGATGGATTCGGGGGGACCCTGCATGAAGAATCTCTGGTTGGAGGTCCAGTCCAACCCCTCAGGCTGTCACTCAGAAGGAGAAGCTGAGGCACGCTCTGTCTAGTGACACAGCTGAGCTGGGGCCGCAGCGGCCTAGTGGCTGGAGTCGTGTGGTCGGAGGAGCAGGGCCTGGCCACAGAGGCCGGCCCGCACCCCGCCGACAGGCACCATGTACTCCCGGCCATCCGCAGCCCGAGAGGGCGAGAAGTCCGTCAGCTGCAGGTTGCTGTCCCGGACCTGGTCATAGTCCCACAGCTGGTGGTGCCAACTCTTGCCCTGCTTGGCGAGCAGGTAGACAGCCCCCGGGGAGCCTTCTTCCGGCAGGGATGGTGGCTGGTGGGGTGTGCCGGGCACTGGGTGGAACAGGCCTGGCAGCTCGGGATCCTCCGAGTAGCCAAGGCTGGGCACACGCTGCACACCTAGCAGGACCCCTGGGGGGAGAGCGGGAGGCTGTGAGGAGCAGCTGAGTCCTGACGAGGGGCTGGGGCTCCCGGAGTCCCCCCACAGCCCCACCCGGGGGGGGTGCTGCCGAGATCCCTGCACTGTACACAGCGGGGGCACAGCTGGGCTTGGATCTGAACCCACGGTGCTGGGCTGGAGAACTGCAGGCATTTTACATCCTGCCGACAGCCTGGCAGCAGTGAACAGAGCAGACATCACCGCCTAGCTGTTGCGAGCTGTCCTGGGGAGCCGTGCTCAGAGGCGTGCACACCAGGGCGCCGCCTTCTAGCAGGCAGGCGGAGAGATGAAGGTGCTGACTATAGCTAACAACAACAGACGTGGAACATACCAGGCACCATTTAAAGAATCTGAACATTCAAACAGCCCTCTGTCCTGGGAACTGTTGTCACCCTGATTTCCAGATGGGGACCTGGAGGCCCAGAGCCACAGAGCCTGGGAGTGTCTGGGCCAGGTTTGCAGTCCAGTTTGATCCTCCTCTGTGCTTGAGTTTCTTGTTTGGGAAAAACCCTGATTGACAGATGCTGAAGTACCTGCTGCCGGACCCTGCTAACTACCCTGTAGGGACAAAGGTGGTCCAACCCTGGCTCCCGCCTGGAGTACTGTGGAGGGGCTGGCACGAGGGTGAGCATGTGAGGAGGGGAGACTGGGGATCAGGGAGGCCCACGGTGAGGGTCCAGGGCAGGGGAGGGGGAACCCACCTGCGCTCACAGCCCAGTGGGCCTTGTGGCCCTTCCTCTGACACGGCTCGTGGTTGAAGTCCTCGTCGTAGCTGCACTGCAGTCAAGGTCAATGCTGCGGGGCGGCCCCGGGACACCCGCCCCCCTCGCCGACTCCCCCCATCCCAGCCCGGCTCCCTCCCTGACCCTGGGATACGGGATAAGGAGGGGGTGTCCGGCGACAATGTGCTGCAGGACCTGGTCTCTGTTGGGACCGCCGAGGCCGCCGCAGAGCACCTCTGCCTGGCAGCCCAGTGCCTCTTGGGCCAGCCTGCCCATGTCAGCCACTGCAAGGACAGAGCAGACACGAGGAGCAGTCACTGCGCACCAGGCACTGGGAAAAAGGCTTTTAGGAATCAGTGCCTATAACCCTCACCTTGACCATCATCTCTTTGTACAAATGTGGAAAATGAGCCACAGAGAAAGACACAGATCCTGTATTAATAAATGTGTGTGCAATTTAGAAAACTGGTACACACGATCCTATTGGCAAAACAGAGACACTGACACACACACGCAGAGAATAAATGTGTGGGTACCCAGGGGACAGGGGTGGGAGGAACTGGGAGACTGCAACTGACACATGTATACTATTGATACTATGTGTGAAACAGACAACTAATGAGAATCTGCTGTCTAGAACAGGGAACTCAACTCAATGCACTATGGTGACCTAAATGACAAGGAAGTCCTACAGAGAGGAGATACATGTCTGTGTATGGCTGACCGATCCTGCTCTCCAGCAGAAACTGACACAGCATTGTGAAGCAACTCTATTGCAATAAAAACTAAAAAAAACGTGAGGCACAGAGAGGATAAGTTGCTTGTCTATGGTGACGCAGCAGGAAGCAGCAGAGCTGGGCTGGGAACCCAGGTGGCCTGGTTCCAGAGTCCACCTTGTAACACTCTGCTCTACTTCGGCGGGGGTGGGGGGTGGGGGTGGTGTGGGGTGAAGGGCGCAAAGAATGGAACAAAGTCCCCCATGTGCCTGATGTGTCCCAGCCAAGCTCTCCAGTCCCCTCCTGCAGGACATCTGGGTGACACCCTTCCACACCCAACCTACCTGAAAACATTTCCCCCTGGGCCGTGTATCCTCTCTCCATGGCCACCTGCACGAGTCTCTCCAGAGGGGTGCCGCCGGGGGGCGCCAGGAGGGTGCCTGCCATCCACAAGGCCACCAGCCCACACCTGGGGAGAGACAGGCCCAGTCCCCCAATCTCTAATTCGAGTCTTTCCTGGCCCCCTCGGCCCTGGATGCTGGAGTGTGGGGAACAGTTTGCCGCCCTGGGGGAATTCCCTTCTTGTCTCCCAGGGTGAGTGGGGAGACCTGACTTCCTCCTCCTAGGAGAGAGGATGGCCAAGGCCTGAACTCAAGGCTGGAGGGCTGTGGTGGGGTGAGAGGGTGGGAGGTTAGGCAGACATGTCACCTGGGCTTCCAGGAGGAGCAGGTGCCAACAGGGAGTCAGAGATAACGGACCAGATTCATTTGTTCACTTGCTTGTTTGTTTCAACTGTTTACTGGGCATGCTCCCAGGACCCTGACCTGGGTAAGTTCCCCTTCTCCCTCCCCTCTTCCTTCCCCCTAGGCTGCCTGGGATGAACCCACTCTTCCCACACTCCCCGGTCAATCCTCACAGAGGCTGGTGAGGGCAAAGGCTTGAGGGCACAGCTGGCCAAGGGGCTGGGGTCCCAAATCAGGGTACGTACTGAGGGCCTTCTTGGATGAGGGAGGGCAGGTCAGCACAGAAGAGGATCCATTGCAGGTCACTTCTGAAACTGAATCAGAGGCACATTCAGGTCATGAGGCAACCAGTTCCTAGGGTCTCACCCTCGAGGGCTGCTCTTGGCTGGGTCAGACTGCCTTCATCCCTGATGAGACACTTCCCTTCCCCACCTCTGTTTTCTCACCTGTTCAATGGGAATCATTCTTCTGCCTGCTATTCCCTGCTTTTTCTCAGCTATTGAAGGGGTAAAGAGCAGATGTGCAAAAGCTTTGCAACTAGGAGTCAGAGGAAGTTATTAGCAGGGATGTCTCCACATCATGCTGAGCCTTAGTGGCTCAGTGGTAAAGAACCAGCCTGCCAACGCAGGAGACTCGGGTTTGATCCCTCAGTCGAGAAGATCCTCCAGCAAAGGGAATGGGAATCCACTCCAGTATTGCTGCCTGGAAAATCCCATGGAGAGAGGAGCCTGGTGGGCTACAGTTACAAGGAGCTGGACAGGATTTAGCGACTGAGCACCCATGCATGCTCTACATCATGGATTAAAAAATTAACGAAAGAAAGAAAGGGAAAATTTTATTGGAGCCAACCTGAGGATTATAACCTGGGAGATAGTCTTTCAGAACGCTCTGAGGACTTCTCCACCCATCAGATGTCAAAACACAGTCATATGTTAAGTTTTTGAGACAAAGGGTTATCAAAATATTGACAGTTTACTCAATGCAGATTGAGTACAAAGCAAGTTGTGGGACTTGGGTCATTTTGACCCCTTAACAAGATTAAGAAGGATTGTCTTCTGATGATATTAAGAAGGAATGTTACTAAGGAAGTCTGATAAATGCACACTAAATAGGAGGGAGGAGGCCCAAACAGGCAAGGAAACATTTTACATTTAAATTTTATCTTGCTGGGACTTCCCTGGTGGTCCAGTGGTAAGACTTCACCTTCCAAAAGCAGGAGATGCAGGTTTGATCCCTGGTTGGGGAACTAAGATCCCACAAGCCTCAATAACCAAAAAGCCAAAACATAAAAAACAGAAGCAATACTGTAACAAATTCAATAAAGACTTTAAAAATGATCCACATCAAAAAAAAAAAAAAGAAATTTTTCTCTTGTCTTGCCATAAAACAAGAATTTAATTTCATCAGTGCCGAAACTCTGCATGTTTTCCACTCTCAAGCCTGTTTTTCATGCAGTTGGACAGGACAGAAATCCCTTTACTCAGCCTTGAGCAAAACCAGGTGATAGCTCCAGACCTAAGAGATCACTGATAGAGTCAGGCCCAGCCCCATCCTAGGGGAGGCCGCTCAGAATATTTTGGTGATTCCAGTCCTTCCCCCCCTCCCAGCTAGGGCTCAGGAGGTGCTGGGCAATGTGCTTATATCTCTATCCCAAAGCCAATGAAAGGGGAAGGCTGGGAGGCATTCTCCTGATGAGAGGAGATATCAGCACAGTGGTTAAAAGCAGGGTGTGGCCCCCGCCCCCCCACCAGCCAGCAAAAAGCTTAGAGCCCCACCGCCATGCCCTTCCTCTTTGAAGCTTTGTGGCCAAGTGACTTAACCAATGTGAATCTCAGCTTCCTCATCTGAAAAATGGGGTAACAATAGTTCCTGCCCTGAGCGGGGAGAGAGAAATTAAAAGGTTGAGTTTAACACAGATACACTATTATGTACCTGGAGGAGGGCATGGCAACCTACTTCAGTATTCTTGCCTGGAGAATCCCCAAGGACAGAGGAGCCTGGCGGGCTACAGTCCATGGGGGTCACAAAGAGTTGGAAGTGACTGAAGCGACTTAGCATGTATGCATGCATGAATATACATACATACATACATATATGTATGTGTATCTGAATCACTGTACTATACACCTGAAAATAACATGACATTATAAATCAACTATACTTCAATTAAAAAAATAATAAATAGTAACTTCCTCGACAGCACTCAGGGGTTCCCTCCTCCAGGCAAGTCCCTGGGACCCCCCACTCCTGGGGCACTCCCTCTGGACTCCCTCCCGATGGGTCGGACCTCTCCTCTCGGGGCTGTCGCTGTCTGGTGGAGTGAGAGATCTGTTTCTCCCAGTGGACGAGGTGCTCTCAAGGAGCAGGAGCTTTCTTCATTGCTGAAGACACACAGCCACTGAAGGCCTCTAAATAGGGAGCTGAAGCAGACTGTTTGCCCTTGAGGAAATGGGAAACCCCAAGAGAAGATGACTGAAGTGATGTGGTGAGAGGTGGTTGGGTGAGACCACAGGTGGGAGGGATGGGCCCTGGGACCCTACCGGTCCTTGTGCAGCTTCAGGAGCCTCTTCACATCCTCTCTGCTCCCGGGGACTGGGCCGGCCCTCTCCAAGGCCTCCTTCAGGAGCTGACTCTTCTCTAGGCCGAAGACATGAGGGGGAGCAAACCCGGTGGTGGGGGGCGGAGGCGGCAATGGAGGTGGTGGGGGAACAGGGGCCTGGAAACTCGAGGGTGGAAAAGCTAATTCGGGGAGGTTTGGGGTAAGGGGAGGAAGGGGGATATTAAGGGCCTGGGATGCAGGGGTTTCGGGAGGAGGAATTGGTGGCTCTAGAGGAGGAGAACATGGAGAAATCATTTTGGGGTCTGTGACTTAGGCTGAAAGATCGAGAATGGGAGAGAGGGGACAGATCCTCCAAAATGTGGTCACAGGGATGGAGAGTCTGACGGTCTTAAAGCTGAGCTCCTGATCTGGGAGCAGAAGTTGGGACTGCAAAAAAAACAGGGCTAAAATCTGGAACCTTGGGAGCAGGGATTGAAGCTGACGCAAATCACAAGGAATCTGAGGGTTAACGGGTCCTTTAATGTGCAAACAGATCTGTGGTACAGAGTTGGGATGCAGAGCTCAAGGAGTGAGGCTTAGTAGGAGTTAACTTCTTATTCCTGGGCTAGTTTAGAAACTTGGGAAATTATGGGACACGAAAGCCCAGGCCTGGGGCAAGGCACCTAAAGCGTGGGATTTAGGACCCCTGGCCTAGAAACTGGAAGAATTTAGAATAGATTCCACCCCCTCGCATCTCAGACCCGAGTTTGGAACCTTAGAGCTGACCTTTGAGTCAGGAGGTCAAAAGGACACTTGGCAGGGAAAACAGCCTAATTGTGGAGGAAGTCCTGAAATCGGGGCGCAGCAGGAAGTCTTGTGGGCTGGAGAAGGCTCACAGATCGGAGATCGTTGTGAGCCCCTAAAACGGCTGTGGTAACAGGGTAGGGCTGTAAAAAGCGCCTACCCTTCCCGCAAAATGGCTGCCGCAGCGAACAGCTTTTCCCAAATCCCGCGGTAAAACTCGCAACTCAAGTCCGCCCCTTTAACGATCACGTGACAGACGGGCTGCCAAAGAAAGGCCTGGCCTTGGAAGAGACTGCCGCGAGAATCGAGTCCTGATTGGTAGGAAGCGGGTGAGGGGGCGCGGCCTTCACTGATTGGTCCGTAGTCGCGTGCGCCTCTACTGAGGCGGGAACCCAATTGCCGTTTTTATTGGCAAAATCTGGGTCTGGGAGCGAGCCTTACTCTGATTGGCCAAGCTACCAAGTTTCCGCGCAGAGATTGGCTTGTAGACAGACAAAGGCGGGTCCAGAGGAGGAAGTTTTGTGGTCGGCGCTCAGCAGCGTAGCAGGCACCGCTTGCGGGATCTGAGACTATTCCGGTGAGTATTGGGTAGAAGCGGCCGTGGGCGCCTGGCGGCGGAGCGCTTGGCGCCCGGGCTTTCCTGCGCCTCGTGTAGCGGGAACTATTTTTTTTCTGCGCGAGGCCGGGGTTCGGGAAAATCGTGCCGCCTGCCTTAACTGGCTCTTACATCCGGGCCTTTTCTCCTGGGCTGGCCTTTGAGTGCGTGGGCCAGTGGGAGTCGCCACCTAGGCGGAGCCTAGGCCGCTCCGCCTACTAAGTCGAGTAGAGCATCCTGGGACTCGTAGTAAACCTCACGAGATTTCCCTCACCACGCGGGGAGGAGAAGCTGTGTTCTGCGTTTGCTTTGTTTTCCGAACCGTGCTTCCCTCTTCCCTCCTCTTTACCTTACTTGACTTTCTCTTGGAAGGAAGATCCTTAAGCAGCCCGTGTGGGACAAAAGGATTTTCAGAAACCCAGGACTGAGTGGGACTTTTTCGTTCTTTCAGACCTACCTCAGCAACTTACTCCATGGCAGTTCCCGAGACCCGCCCCAACCACACTATTTATATCAACAATCTCAATGAGAAGATCAAGAAGGATGGTGAGTTTTAGGGATAGTCCGGACACCAGGCTATCCCACACGAGCCTGCCCCCTCTTCTGTCCCCAGCATCCATGTCTGTTCCTCAGCCTTCTCCCCCCAAACTCTTTAAGAGTCCACCCTTCGGCCTTTGCACAGGCAGTGCGTTTGGTATTTCCTCATTTTCTCTTACACTTTTCCCGTTAACCTGGTCTTTCAAGGTTTCAGCTTCAAGACCCCCCTCCTCCAGGATGCCTCCCCCTTCCCTTTTCCACCCACGTGCCTGCCTCTGACTTCCTAAAACCCTTAACCTCCCCAGTCAAGTCCTGATGTGGCTATCAGGGGGCTGTCTCTTTCCTGGCCTTTGAGCTCCAGAAGGGTAAGAACTGCAATTGTTGGTCACTGTCATGCCCTCAAGTGATTAGCCCACAGTGAAAACGTTTCATTTCAAAATAAAGTGAAATGAACCATGATGGTGGGTAACACTGGGTACCAGGTGCTGATATATAAATAATGGTTACATTTAACTTTGACAGCAACCCTGCAGGAAGGACCTATTGTTCCCACTTCTCAGATAAGGAAACTGAGACTGCAGAGAGATATGGTTTGCCCAAGGCATACAGCACAGAAACGTGGTTGAGACCACTATATGGAATTCTGGTTAAGAACTCGATTCTAGATGTGACATACTTTTCTTTTTTCTTGAGCAAGTTATCACTTTTTATTGAACCTCATTTTTTTTATATATATAGGAAAGCTGGGCAAAATCATATAGGAAAACTGGGCAAAATGTTTGCGCAGGTGTTATGGGAAATATATGAACTAAACTTCCATGCTTTTTTTTTTTTATGGTACCTAGCAGTTAGTAAGGATTGGATATAAGTGTTAGCTCTTATTGTCTCCTCAAGAAAACTGTAAGGAGAACTGAAGAAGCATGCTGGCATTAAGTTGAAGTTACCGATAAAGTTGCTATTGAAGATAATAAACAAGCCATGTAAATTTCTCATATACTATTAGAGCATTGTGCCCAGCCAGTTCTCTGTGGAGCTGTGGACATGGTGACTGAGACAGTCCTGGTCCTGACTTCATGGAACACAGTCTAGTAGAGATGACAGACCTGCTCCCAGACAGTGATAGCCCAGAGTAGCCATGGCCATAATTGGGGGAAGTTGAGGCATAGTAGTCAAGGCTGGGATTGGGCACTTGGAAAGAGGTATTCAGATTCATAGAACAGGAGACATTTTGGGAACACCTACCATGTAGAGGAAGCAGCATTTGTGTTACAATGAGGCAGAAGAGTGACTAACCTGGACCAGCACGTGCAAATGTCCAGGGGCAAAAGAGAGCCCAGGGCATCCTGGGAACCACATGTACTGTTTTGGGTGCCTGAGACCTAGAGGCTGGTGATGCATGAAGAACATTCAGGCAAGCAGTGCACTCTGGCTCCTGAGGCCTTGAGGGCTGGGTGGGGTATTTTACTTCATCCTGAGGGCTTTGGGGAGCCAGGCAAGGGATGCAGTTAATTGTGGAAGATCTTTCCACCTGTGGAGGGTGTGGGCAAGAAAGGAGACTGGGGAGAGGCCCAGCACCTAGGGGAATGACTAAGGCCCACACTAGGTTCATGGGGATGGCAGGTGGAGACAAATCTCGGAAATGTCATCAGGATTTTTGGCTATTTGCTTTCGTCTTTACTTGATCCCCCTTTTCTTTCCTAATGTCTCTTCGGCCGGGTATCTTAAGCTCAGGTGCCTTCTTTGCATAAGGCTGGTACCCTTTCCTGGCTGTCCATTTGCTAGGGAGGTTTGGTGGTCCTGGGTTCAGATGGACTTGGGTCCTGAGCCAGTGACAGATCCTCTGAGAGCCTCTATCCACATTAGTAAAATTGGGGCAGTTATAATTGCTACCTCATGGAGTAGAGGTAAAAATTTGGTGAAGTTATTCCCAGAAATCATTTACTGCTATGTTTCTTCAGGCAAATGTATTTGGAGATTTGTGTGCTGGCAACTATACTGTTCATTAGGGTTTTTTTTTTTTTTTTTTTTTTGGGCTCACACCAAGGGGCTTAGGAATTTTAGTTCCCTGACCAGGGATCAAACCTGGACCCTTGTCAATAAGAGCACAGAGTCCTAACCACTTGACCACCAGGGAGTTCCCTGTGGGGATATTGTGATAAACAAATAGGATAGACTTGTACCTCTTCAGAAAGAGGACCAAACAAAAAGGAAACAAACATAATGTCAGGAGGTGGGAAATGCCTTGAAAGAAAAGCAAGTAGGTTCTCACAGTGGGGGAAATGACATGAGGGGGCTCTTATTTCACCAGGGTGGTCATGGAAGGCCTCAGATGGGAACATCTCTGCTGAGTCCTGGGTGACTGGAAGGAGGCAGCCATGTACACATCAGGAGAAGTTTGCTCCTGGTAGAGGGAGCAGTCAGTGCAAAGGTCCTGAGGCAAGGTTGCTGTGACGGGCCTGAGAAAGGGCTGGGAGGCCAGTGTGGCTGGAGCTATAGGAGTGAAGATGGGTCATGGGGAGAGATGAGGTGGGAGAAGTCAGCCAGGGCCACATCAGAGGGGCTCATGTCAGGGTGCTGGAGACAGGGGAAAAGTGCTTGCATTTATCGAGCATTTACTGTGTGCCCTCTGTATGTGTGACTCATGTTCCCCTGCAGCAACCTTGTTGGGTAGGTATCTTGATTGTTGACCTACTACAGAGTCAATGCACACGACCACCTGAGTGGTTCTAGGCTGCTGATGGTATTGCTCAGTACTCTGTCAGTGGGCTGATGGTGTCCCCTCTGGGCTGCGTTTCCTCTGAAAAGTGGAGCTCCAGCCCGAGGACATGATACCCTGGCCTACAGTCACCGCTGGGTCTTTGCTCTCCCCACTGCAGAGCTGAAGAAGTCCCTGTATGCCATCTTCTCCCAGTTTGGCCAGATCCTGGATATCCTGGTGTCACGAAGCCTGAAGATGAGAGGCCAGGCCTTTGTCATTTTCAAGGAGGTCAGCAGCGCCACCAACGCCCTGCGTTCCATGCAGGGCTTCCCCTTCTACGACAAGCCCATGGTGAGCACGGGGTGTGGAGGGTATGGGCGTGTGCCTGCGCCAAGTGCTGTTGCAGGCTGGATGGGTCTGGACTGCTGTCTGTAGATCAGAGCCTTAAGGATGGGAGTTCCTCCTGTTGGTCCTCGGCATCCACTGTTCACTGTACTGGGGCTGTGGGGACACACAGCAATCAAGGGAAGTCCCAGCTCTGCCCTCGTAGACCCACAGTGCCACTGGAGAGACACGCCTGTCTCCAGGTGGCGACGACCCGAGGGCTCAGGGCTGGGACGAGCGAGTACACAGAACTCAGGGAACTTACTCTCACCCGGTCTGGGAGTTCGCAGGGGAGCCTTTCTGGATGAGTAAGAGTTGGAGAAGAGTAGCTGAGAAAGACAAATGAACTAAGAATGGGAGATAAGCAAGAACCTGTGTAACTGAGGGAGTGAGTCACATTCATTCTGCAGAAGTGGAGGGTGGGGATGGTGGGATGGGCATGGCCTGGAGAGTTGTCAGAAGTCAGGCTAAGGAGCTGATCCTGAAGGTGGATTTGATTCCAAGGTTGCTGGCAAACCATGCAAGGGTTAGGAAGATGCCTGTGGCTGTTGCGGAGGATGGGTTCAGTTGTGGGAGATGGGGTTCAGTTGTGATGGTGAGGCTGGGTCAGGATCCCAGATCTAGGATAAGGGGAGAGTTCATCTAGGATCAGGGTTACAGTGATGGCTAACACTGGGTACCAGGTGCTCATGCATAAATCATGGTTACATGGGGCCATGGGATGGGAGGAAGTGGGTTACGGATGTTCAGTAGGCCTTGAACAGACAGGGGTTCTGTTATTCAGAGTCCCTGCTCTGATCCAGAATTCCTGCCATATCAGTCAGTTCTCTCTCCCTTTCTCAGTTCTTCTGAGTTTCACCTGTTGGGAATATGCCTCCCTGAACCAGCAGGGTGGTGACAGCAAGTGTCAGTACCTGCAGGTTCCAGGCATGTCATTTCACGTGGAACACATTGACCCCAGGGGCACAGAGGCGGCCTGGTGCCCTCACCTCCTTCCGGATGGGGCTCCTCTCTGACTCCTGCCTGTTGTCTGCTGTTGTGGGTGTGTGAGACCACAGTTGCCACATCTTCCATTGCTTTTCTGGAGTAGCTGGAAATTCCCTTTTGAGGACTAAAAATCATAAATCATTTTGTGTGGACCTTCTTCCCCTGCTTTTCTCTGACATCAGTGCTTGAACCGTAGAAAGCACTGAGCCACTGTGAGTTCTGTCAGGGAATCCTGTCAACTCTACCTGGAAAACCTCCACTGAAAACATAAAATTAAAAAAAAAAAACAAACCCAAACTTCCACTCCAAAAAAAACCCTCCACTGATTCTTCCCACTCCTCCCCTGGTACCCACCTAGTCCCAGCTACGACCCTTCTCCCTGTTTTGACCCCCTGCTCCTCCCAGGCCTCTCCATCCCGTGGCCACAGCGCTCTTTGGGAGTCACAAGTGAGAGCTCGTCATTCCCCTGCTTATAACACTCTGTGACTCCCAGCTTGCTCAGGAAAAGACAAAGTCCCCTAGGCCCCCTGTTGCCTCTGTGATGTCACCTGCCGCCTCATCCATGTAGGCCTCCCTGCTGTTCCTTGAAGATACCCCATACTCTAGCTCTTCAGTGGCTCTTCCTTTGCTAGAACGCTTTTTTCCCTCGATGCCTGCGTGCCTCCCTCCCTCCCTGTCTCTATACCAGCATTATCTCCCTGAAGTCTTTCTGGCTGCACTCTGAAAATTTCAGTTCTTCTCAACTCTTCACCTCCCCTTCTCCTGTTGGTTCACTTTTTAATCTCTGTCATATCTTCCCCAGAGAACTAATTCCACAAGAGCAGGGGCTTTTGTGTGATTGGCTCATTGCTGAATCCTCGGGGCAAATTTGGGTGCTCTGTAAACCGCTGAATGAGATTTACTTTGGAGAAGGTGTGATAGAAACCTCCCTGCATAGTGCTCCTGTCCTGGCCTTGTTTCCTTCTACCTTGAGCTGATGCTTGGAGCTGTCCCATCTTCCTATCAAAAAATCCCATCAACCACTTCCTGAGAGCTTGCTACATGCCAGGCACGTAGCAAGTAGTGTTTAGAGCACTTTTTAGCTCCTAGTCCTGGTCGTCCTTTGAAGTGGGAAATACCTCAGTACCCATTTGACAGGTAGGGACATTGAGGCCAAGGGATTTCGATGATGTTTCCCACCAAGCTCCAAGCAAGGTCTGATTTTGGCTCCTAAGTCCAGTCTCCTTCACCCTCTGCTCTCTGTTGGGCAGCGCATCCAATACGCCAAGACCGACTCGGATATCATTGCCAAGATGAAGGGCACCTTCGTGGAGCGGGACCGCAAGCGGGAGAAGAGGAAGCCCAAGAGCCAGGAGACCCCAGCTGCCAAAAAAGCCGTGCAGGGAGGGGCGGCCGCCCCTGTGGTGGGCGCCGTGCAAGGGCCTGTCCCGGTAAGCCAGGGCCCACAGACGCAGCCCTCTCACCACCAGGTCTTCCTTGGCCTTGTGGGCTGGCACAGGGTGGGGTAGGGAGAGTATCCCCTTGGGGATTTAGGCATTTTCCCCCCACTTCCATTTTTCTTGTGAGATTGTGTGCGTATCTATAGGAGGGTGAGCATATGAATGATGGTATCTCCACTTGGAAATGTCTAATGTCTATGCCTCCCTGCCAATTTCTCGGGATCTTTTTCTGTGTGTCTTAGTCTTTTTGTTTTTTCTCTCCTTGACCTTGGTTTTGCCGTGTCTTCTAAAGTCAGTGTCTATGAAGCAAATCCAGAGGAAACCACTAACCAGCTATTAGGATTAAAAGAATTTCATTTAACAAGGTCACCAGATCAATATGGAAAAGTCAGTTTTATTTCTGTACATTAGCAATAAACAAGGATACTTCAGATTGAAAAACACCTCCAAGAAAAATGTGCAAGGCCGCCCACTGAAATGATAGAACATGGCTGAGAGAAATTGGAAGACTCAGTGCTATTAAGATGTCGTTTCTTTCCAAACTGGTTTAAGAGTCAACTCTGTTCCAGTCAGAATCCCGAGAGGTATTTGTGGACACAGCCAGGCTGTCTGTAAATGTCTGTGATGGCAAAGCTGGGGCCTGTTGTTGAGGAATAGTATGGTTTCCTGAGGATGGGAAGATGGACCAGTGGGGCAGAGTGGAGTCCAGAAACCTGCACGTGTGTTTGTGGTCGCTCTGTATGTGACTGAGGTACCACTGCTTTCCAGTGATGAAAGGGCTTTTTCCCCTAATAAATCGTACTGGACCAATTGGATATTTGCAAGAGGGGAAAGTTAAGCCCTGCTTTGGCTACATATAAGTTAATTTGAGATAAACGGTAGACTTGAGTACTTGAGTATGTCAGCTCCAGTAATCAAAGTTCTTGAAGAAAACAGAAAAATGTCTTTATGACCTTGGTGAGACCGTAAGTAGAAACATCCTGTTTTCTAAACAAGATACAGAAAGCATAAAGTACTAAAGAAAAGATGAATGAATTGGACCCACTCTGGTCTCCAAACCTCCGAACCTTCTGATGGGTCGTCTTGTGTCGGTGTCCGTGTCTAGGTTAAACTGCCCCATCCTTACCCTCTCTGCTCTTGCTGTGCCCAGCTTTCTGTCCAGCTTTGACTGTTCACATGGGTTCAGCTCCTGTCTCCCCTGGGAGCACGTGCTCTTTGCCTGCAGCCTCTCCCTTCCCCTTGCTGTCACCCCTTACCATGTCTTTCTGCATCAGCCCTGACCATCCTCATCTACCTCTGCCTTCCACTGTCTGTTCTCCGGGCCTGTTTCTTTCTCCATACACTCTATTTATTTGGCCGTGTCGGGTCTTAGTTGCGGCATGCGGGATCCTTCTGTTTTGACGCACCAACTTTCCAGTTGTGGTATGCAGTCTTAGCTGCTCCGCAGCACATGGGATCTTAGTTCCCAGACGAGGGATCAAACCCGGGTCCCCTGCATTGCAAAGCGGATTCTTAAACACTGGACCAGGGAAGTCCCCATGAAGTTTTAAAGCAGTACAGCATGCTGCTTATAGTGTTTATTTCCACCCCTTTTAGTTGATAATGTTTTTATTTTTCTTCTAGTTTTTTTTTTTTCCCCCAGTAGGCCCCCAAATTTGTTCATATGTCTACAAGCAAAGTTAGGCCATTCTGACCAATTTTTCTTCCTTTTTTGGGGGGGCCATACTGAGTGACGTGTGGTATCTTAGTTCCCTGACCAGGGATTGAACCTGTTCCCCCTGCAGTGGAAGCACCAAGTTCTAACCACTGGATGGCTAGGGAATTCCCCTAACCAATTTTTATATGTTAAAAAAAAGTTTCTGTTTATTTTTAACTCCGTCTAATTTGATGTCCCCTGTGACCTTGGGCCTGATCTGCTCCATCCATCCCTCTTTGGATGCCTTTCTTGCCTTTTCCAAGTCTGGATCTTTTCTCTGTGTCTCATACCCGGGGTTTCCTGTAACAATCTTTTCTCCTGTTTCCTCTCAACACTGAAATCACACCTCCTCCCACCTGCTGGTGCCCCTCTCAGCCCTGCCCTCCTCTCCCCACAGGGCATGCCGCCGATGACTCAGGCGCCCCGCATCATGCACCACATGCCAGGCCAGCCCCCTTACATGCCACCACCGGGCATGATCCCGCCTCCAGGCCTGGCGCCCGGCCAGCTCCCGCCGGGGGCCATGCCACCACAGCAGCTTATGCCGGGGCAGATGCCACCTGCTCAGCCTGTAAGTGTCTGGTCCTCCCAGGGTCTAGTATAGTCAGGAGACAGGAATGGCAGGCAGGGCACTGTTTTAGGTTGGGTGGTCTGGGCAGGCCTCCCTGAGGAGGTGCTGTTGGATGATGAAGATTTAGCAGTGGCGTCAGGCCCTGGGACAGAGGAATTGGTGTGTTTGCTGGAGCAGGTCAAGGGGAGGCTGGAACAGGGGTGGGCTGCACCTCGCTTCACTCTGTGAACTTCTGCTGAGCACCCGCTTATGGGTGCAACTGTGCTCCCTTGTGGCTTACAGTCTAGGGCACCGTTGGCAACACGGGGTCTGTTAGGTGAAAGACTAGAAAGAATTCAAGCAGGGCGGGGCTGGAGGGCAGGAGGGCCATAGATCCCCGACCAGACTTACAGTCTCCCGTCGCTCTCCTGCAGCTTTCAGAAAATCCACCAAATCACATCTTGTTCCTCACCAACCTGCCGGAGGAGACCAACGAGCTCATGCTTTCCATGCTCTTCAACCAGTAAGTGAGGCCTGTGGCTGGGCTGGGCCCGGAGGGTGGTGGCCACGAGGTGGCACCACAGGGACAAGCCTCATAGTTCTGTTGGTGGAGCCTGAGCCTGTGCAGGCGGGGACAGCGCCTGGAGGCCAGAAGGAGGAGGCTGAGGCTGGCCCTGCAGCGGCCCGGCATGGATGTCAGCAGTGGCCAGGATGGGCAGGCTGTCTTCTGCCCTTAAGGAGATGACTCTGGATCTCATCTTTCCAGTCTCTAACTTAGACAATGGCAAGGTGCAAGTCCAGCAACAGTGAGATGTCACTGAATGCTGGCTAGACTGGAAGAAGTCAGCCTGTTCAGACTGCAGGTGTGGGAGTGGGGGATGCTCGACCCCTCAGGGATGTGGGTGGGTGCGGGCCATTGCATGGGGTAACTGTGCACTGTTTAGTCAGGTGCTCACCTAGACTTCTCTGGTGGCTCAACGGTAAAGAATCCGCTGCTAATCCAGGAGATGCAGGTTCAATCCCTTGGAAAAGGAAATGACAACCCACTCCAGCATTCTTGCCTAGGAAATCCCATGGACAGTGGAGCCTAGGGTCACAGAATCAGACATGACTTGGTGACTGAAGAACAACACTTGATGACTGCTCCTGTTTATGTGAAATTTTAACATGCCTAAGGGACTGGGTGGGGCATTCCTCATGGTGTGGTCGGGAGCTGGAGGCAGCCTGGGAGAAAGGCGAGGTCAAGTGCAGGTGCTGGCAGCTAGAGGGAACAAGAAGAGCATGCTGCATGGTTCTTTATACCAGGGTCGAGAGGAAATTTTGAGAAACTGAATGAAACAAAAACCATACCATTCAATTTTATACCATGTCCACAAAACAAGGCATAGTTTCTAAGAATACTGATGGAATAAAGGATACCTGGTAATCCTGAGGATGGTTGCCTAGTGGGGAAGGAAGTAAGGAATGAGAAGAGGGAAATGAAAGAAACAGCAGATCATAAAAGTAGAGGGTAGTGGTTATTCTGGGGCTTCCCAGGTGGCTCGTTGGTAAAGAACTCGTCTGCCAGTGCAGAAGATGGCAGGTTTGATCCCTGGGTTGGTAAGATCCCTTGGAGAAGGGCATGGCAACCCACTTCAGTATTCTTGCCTGGAGAATCTCCATGGATAGAGGAGCCTGGTAGGCTACAGTCCGTGAGGTTGCGAAGAGTCGAACTCAACTGAGCACATCAACTTAGCATTGTCCCCATTTTGGGCTGGATGATCCTTTGTTATTGGGGCCGTCTTCTGCATCATGGGGTGTTTAGCAGCATTCCTGGCCCCTACTCACTGGATTCTTGAATGTTCGAGGGCAGTGCTGAGGCTGGATCCCTGAGGTCTCTGTCTTTCTCTCAGGTTCCCTGGGTTCAAGGAGGTCCGGCTGGTTCCTGGGCGGCACGACATCGCCTTCGTGGAGTTTGACAATGAGGTGCAGGCAGGGGCCGCTCGAGACGCCCTGCAGGGCTTCAAGATCACCCAGAACAACGCCATGAAGATCTCTTTTGCCAAGAAGTAGCACCCTTTCCCCATGCCTGTCCCGGCCCCCTGTTCTGGGGCCACCCCCTACCCCCTTGGTTCAGCCCCCTGAAGGTAAGTCCCCCTTGGGGGCCTTCTTGGAGCCGAGTGTGAGTGAGTGGTCTCCACACAGCATTGTACCCAGAGTCTGTTCCCAGACATTGCACCTGGCGCTGTTAGGCTGGAATTAAAGTGTTTTTTGCGGTTTGTTTTTTCACAACCGTTTGTTTTTATTTTCTTGTCTTTGTGTTTCCCTTCCCTGCACACCAGAATATTCTTAGTGTTTGAGAAGCTCAGCACATTGGGGATTGCAACTTTGGGAAAATACAGAATAGTGTAGCAACACTGTCCAAACTTAAGTTGCTTTTACTATTTTGGCAGATTTCTGTTTTGTCTCAAATCAGAATTCAGGGCAAGAAGTTAAAACCCAGGCTGCCAAGTATAGTTGGGCAGGTTCTGTACTGCACAAGGATGCTTCTTTTAATGGCACACCATTCACTATAGACTCGTATGTTGATTGCAATAATTTTCTGACACGATAGAGTGTTAAGAAAGAGGTTTTTTCTTTACCTTTTTCTAGACAAAAATGCTTTCTCTCATAGCAGGAGTCTCACGGAAACCACTATAGCTACTTCAGAAAGAAAGGGAAGGAAAATGAGTATTCACGAAATCATTGAAAGGATGGTAGGAATGGCAGTTTGGGTTGGAGATGCTGAGTTCAACTTTGCAGCCCCCGATTGAGCTGCAGTCTCTGGAATTCCGGAAGAGGTCCCTGCTGCTGCTGCAGGGAGGGTCCTTGCTGAATTGGTCACACATGGGAGACACCAGCCAGGAGCTTTGGGCAGGAGGCTGATTCAGTCTCCCTTCAGTGTTGCAGCTGCAGTGGAAGCTAGATGTGGTTTCTGGCTGAACAGCTGAAGCTGGATAAGAAGGGAGATTGAATGGGGGAACTTTGAAGCTTAGCAGTCTGTCACAGATCTGACTTGACAATTTTTAAGTTGACTAAATGTGTGTGTGTGTGTATAAATATACATATATATATATATATAGCTTAAAACCCTTTCTCACACCATATAGATAGCAAAATGAGATCCCTTGCCAGAAATAGAAAATTACCACAAAAATATATACAATGAGGCACAGTGTTAAATTCTCCCTGGATGTCCTTTCCCATGTTAAGGCTCTGAGCCCCAGCTTGCACTTGCTCTGCTCTCTCCATTAAAGAGGAACGACGGTGTTGGAAAGGCTGAAGACTTAGGGCACCACATGCACACTTCCTCCTTGTAGGATCTAAAAGATGGAAGCGGGAGGGTGATTGTCATCTTCACCACATAGTTATTGCAGATAGCACATGGGATCGTGGGGTCTCTGGACAGCCCCCCGACCCCCATGATAAGACAACTGATGTCCCCACTCTGAGTTTCATTTTTCTTCCTGAGCTGTGCACCCCACCCCAGGTACTTAGCAAGCACTCAGTAAATTCCACAGATAATTTGCCAAGTACCTAATACACACCAGGTACTATTGTAGCATAGGATATGCAGTAGTGAATGAAATAAACAGGCTAATTTTAGATGCTGAATTCTGATAGAACTGACATGATGGGGTGATGGGGTGGTGGAGCTGGGGGGCAGTAATGGGTGATCAAGGAAAGCCTCTGGGTGGTGACATGAATAAAGCTATTTGATGCTTGTATGGTACTTGGTGCTGGGTGTTGTGTGTGTGTGGAGATGGCTTAGGCCCAGTCTTTGACCAGAAGGAATCCTTCCCCACTCCAAGCCAGTGCGTGTCCATCTTCTTCCCCTAAAACTAAAGTTTGGACTTGCTGGCCAGAGGTGAGAATACCTGAGGAAAGAGATGGGTCTTCAGGCAAGTGGATCTCTGTGAAGCGTGGTTTTAGATAGGAGACTTGAGTTCACATCCTCTGCCACTGTTTCATACTGGCCTTGGGCAAATGACAGCTCCAAGCCCAGTAGTGATGGGTATGGGCCTACAGCCAGATCTAGCTTCTCCACTTACTGACACTAACCTTGGACAAGTTCCTTAAGGCTCTGTGCTTCCATTTCTACCTAGAATGGGATTATAATGGTCCCCCTTCAAGGTGGTGCAGGGTATGCATTTGAACTAATAAAAATATGCATGGTGAATTCTTTATTAAATAACTAGTATCCCAGATGAGAAAGGTGAGGCTCTGAGAGTAGTTTAGGGCAGTCAGGAAGTGGTTTCTGAGAAGAAATAGTGATCGTGGTTGGACATCGCCTAGCCTAAGGCCCAACATATAATATTCACTCCGTACTTGAGAGCTGGGGCTATTTCTGGCAATCAAAGGGCTGCCTTGTTCTGCTGCCCCTCAGCACAGGAAATTCCAAGGTGGTTTTTCCATACTGGCTCCTCTTGTTCTGTCTCCGGGGGCACAGCTGAGGGGCCTAGGTCTCCAAGCCAACTCAGGAAAGATGGAATTGGATATTTTAACCTGCCTGTCTGAGCCTCTCTGTTGAAGGGGGTGACTTGTTACTTGGAGTGGCCTGGGCTGCCTTAGGCCTCTCTGGGTATTTCCTTGTGCTGGCAACCCTCACCCTGTCCTTGAAATGGTTCTGCCTGGGTAGCAGCCTCTAGGTGGTGTGGGCGAAATCGGGCTGGTTTAAGGAGGGGACCAGACCCAGAACACAGTTTTCCTTATGCTACTGCCGAGGGAGGGCAGGAGGAAACTGGAGACCTCATTCCTGCCTTAGCCATTGTCTTGCCCAGAGTCCATGATGGCTTGGTCCTTGGTGTTTCTCGGTGTCGTCTTGCTGTCTGCTTTCCCGGGGCCTGGTGCCGGCGGCCGCCCCATGCCCAAGCTGGCTGACCGGAAGATGTGTGCCGATGAGGAATGCAGCCGTGAGCGTTAGGGGTCCCGGGGGGTGTGGAGGGCTTTGGTTGCTAGCCTGTGTGGAGGGTGCTTTCACTCCCTTCTATATTCCTTCTCCAGACCCCATCTCCATGGCCGTGGCCCTTCAGGACTACGTGGCCCCTGACTGCCGTTTCTTGACCATACACCAGGGCCAAGTGGTGTATGTCTTCTCCAAGCTCAAGGGCCGAGGGCGGCTCTTCTGGGGAGGCAGCGTGAGTCTTGGAAGAACAGAGGAGGAAAGGAGAGAGAGCTGGGTTGGGAGTGTACCCTACTTTTTTACCTACAGGGCAAATCCCAGGGAGTGAACTGAAATAGTCGGCAGGGGGTGGCTGCTGTGATCCACTCTGTTTTTCTTTCTTAGCAATTATTAGGGCATGTCCTGTAGTGCCAAATTGCTATAGACACCGAAGGTACAATAAAGAATGATGCCTTTTATTCTGATGGAAGGAGGCAAGCCATCAAAAATACCAACTCGTGTGTGCTGCTTTGAGAATTAGTATAAAGTGACTGGGTGACTAATTCACATGGGGTGGTCAGGGAGGACTTTGCAGCAGGCGACTTTAAGCTGAGATTGGACTGACAAGGATGGGGCCAGCTAGATGATCAGGGAGGAGCAAGTATGCACAAGACTTGAGCAGGAATGAGCTTGCCATGTTCCCAGACCCCGGCTTTTAACTCCTCTTCCCCAGGTTCAGGGAGATTACTATGGAGACGGAGCTGCTCGCCTGGGCTATTTCCCCAGTAGCATCGTACGTGAAGACCAGACCCTGAAACCTGCCAAAACTGATGTCAAGACAGATGTGAGTATCTTGGGGGCTGGCAGGAATCTGGAGGGAGGACCTTTGGGTTGCAGTGACAGGCAAAGATGCTCCTAACCTCAGCACCCTAGCAACCTCGGCGCCCTGGCAGCCTCGCTGCGTGTGCTGGAGCAGACTCCCTGCCTTTTCTTATCTGAAAGATGAGTGATTTCTAAATCCAAGTTCAATTGAAAGCTGCAGAGTTGAGCACTCCAGGCTAATTTGCATAGCACTTGTGCAGCCAAACCTGGTCCCTGAGGCTGCAGCATTTACTAAAACCACTAGATCCTTTGTGGTGTGACCACTGGTTTTCTCCCCACTGTTTCCCCTTTCTCTTTTTCAGATATGGGATTTCTACTGCCAGTGAGCTCAGTCTATCCTGTCAGTGCTGTTGTTTCTCCCCTACTTTATGCAAATACATCAGCCAAGTGCAAACTGGGTCTCTGTGGTCTTTGTGGTGGGGATCTAGAGAAAAAGTTTCTGAATCTAGCCAATCAACCCATCAACTGTGGTGACATAAGTGGTTGCTAGGCAGAGTTTCAAGGACTGAAGGCTCTGCTCCAAGATCGGTCGAGGTGGGCTCCTAAGCTTAGCTATTACAAATAAATGAGAAGATGGAATAACTGAACAGCCAAATTGGGGAATTATACTGTCCTCTCCAGACCAATAGGAGAACTATTGAAGTGTTAGGAATGAGCCAATGGGACCATGAGCAAGACACAAATCATAGAGCAGAGGTTTTCTGGATTCTCTTAAGATTTTCCGCAAAGGCAGGTAGGAGGTTAATTTGTGCGTACCATCCCAGTTTTCATCCTTCCTGCCTTTGAGATCAGTACTTCCAGCTCAAGGTAGTTCCTCTTCTAGGCTCTGTCAATCTTACACTTATTCCCTTCTTTGCATCCGTATCCCCGCCCCCAAGTCCGCTCCTACCCAATCTGGAATCTCGACTCTGCCCCTGGGCTCCTGACCAAATCCGTTTCTGAGCTGGGCGAAGCATCTGTGGCACCACCAATCGCTCGTCTTGGTCCCGCCCCTTTAGACCCTGCTCCTCTTACCACCAATCTGCGCCTTTGTCCCGCCCTCTACCTGCCGAGTCCTCCAATCCCGGCCTTGGGGAAGCGTTCCCTAGTATCCCGCAGCGTTAGCGGGTCGCGCTGGAGGGGGGGGTGGAGGCGGAAGTGGCGGCGCCGGCCCCGGGAGTAGGAAGGAGCCGGGGCTGCACCCCGAGCAGAGCGGCTGCCAGCCGAGGAGCAGGCGCGGCCGTGTCGCCATTTTGCGGCTCTTAAGCGGCCGCCACCGAGTCATGGCTGA